TGTTAATAAACATATCTTGAAAAGAAAACTAAAAAAAAAAACTCATTTTACATCTTAGCAATAAAACTAAAAAACTCAAAAAATTTAATATTTTTTGTTTGTTTGATAGTACACATATTTTGATAAGAAAAAAAACTCAAACATTTAACATATTCTTGTGTGTGTGTTAATACACACATCTTGACAATAAAATTAAAAAACTCGAAAAGTTTAATAATTTTTGTTTGTATGATAGTACATATATTTTGATAATAAAAATAAAAAAAAACTCAAAAATTTAACATATTCTTGTGTGTGTGTTAATAAACATATCTTGAAAAGAAAATTAAAAAAACTCAAAAATATAACATATTTTGTGTGTGTGTTAGTACACATATCTTGACAAGAAAATTAAGAATACTCAAAAATTTAACATTTTCTTGTGTGTGTATTAATATCCACATCTTGGTAAGAAAATTAAAAAACTCAAAAATTTAACATATTGTGTGTGTATGTGTGACATTTTCTCGTGTGTGTGTTAATACACATATGCAAGAAACATTAAAAAAACTCACAAATTTAACATTTTTTGTGTGTGTTAATACACATATCTTGACCAAAAAAATTAAAAACTCGGAAATTGAACATTTACTTATGTGTGTGTTAATACACACATCTTGACAAGAGAATAAAAAATTAGTCATGCAAACTTAAAAAGGAAAACTTCTCCGAAAAAAACTTAGAAAATTTAATATTTTCTTTTGTGTGTGTTAAGACAAACATCTTGGAAAGAAAACTAAAATAAAATCGGAAACATAACATCTTTTTGTGTGTGTGTTAACACATATCTTGGCAAGAAAATTTTAATAACTAAAAAATTTGACATTTTCTTTTGTGTGTGTGTTAATACACACATCTTGGGAAGAAATATTAAAAAAAAACTCGCAAATTTAACATATATTGTGTGTGTGTATGTGTGTTAATAAACACATTTTGGCAAGAAAATTAAAAAACTCGAAAATTTAATATTTCTTGTTTGTATGTTAGTACACATATTTTGATAAGAAAAATAAAAAAAAACTCAAAAATTTAACATATTCTTCTGTGTGTGTTAATACACATATCTTGTCAAAAAAATTAAAAAAAAATACTCGAAAATATGATATTTTCTTGTGTGTGTGTGTGTGTGTGTGTGTGTGTGTATGTGTTAATACACACATCTTGCCAAGAAAATTAAAAACTCTCAAATTTAATAATTTTGTATGTTACACACATCTTGGTAAAAAAATTAAAAAGCTCGAAAATTTAACATTGTGCGTGTGCGTGTGTGTGTGTGTGCGTGTGCGTGTGCGTGTGTGCGTGTGTGCGTGCGTGTGCGTGTGCGTGTGTGCGTGTGCATGTGCATGTGCGTGTGCGTGTGCGTGTGCGTGTGCGTGTGTGTACCAACCACCTCACCGCTCTTGGGACATTAGAGATTTTTTTAATAAATATAAATTGACTAGTAACTAAAATTAAAATTGGACTGTAATCGAGGTTAAGAAAATGTTTGCATGACAAGTTTGCATATAACTTTGATTTTTGCACGATTAATATTTAAAACTACACACATATTTGTAAAAAAATCAAAATATTACTTTTATGTGTTAAAAGAAAATAACAAAATATATATATTTGGTAATATATATTTTTATAATGTATGACTGATTATTTTTATAAAACAATTTGTATATTTATGCATGTAGATATGAGCTATAAATAAGTGAACTGTAATAGTTAGGTGTTGGTTAGTTTTTCTAATATTTTCCGTACACGTTATGATTTTACACATTACAGTTTTTTGGCATTTAACAACAATCACGAAAACCGTTTCTATCGTTTTGTATTTAATCAAAATTTCTTATTTTTTAGTATTTTATGATATATAGTCTCTCAATCAAAATTATAATAAAAACTTATTATAAAATTTATGAATTCTTATTTTCTAAATCTCTCTGGTAGCTCTCCGCTCACCTCTTCCTCAATTTTTTTATAGCCTGCAATCGTTTGCTTCCACAAACTCTCTGTAACCGAAGCATTTAAACCAGCCGGATGCTTAATAGTTCTTCTATTCCTAACTTTGATATATGTGTTAATCTTATATAAAATAGATCATAACATATACAAAACTTGATTCATGAAATAATATTTTAAGTTGTTGAAAAAATATATGCATGAAAGAATTAATATGTGTAAGATAGTATTTTTAAATATTTTAAAATAAAAACATAAAATCGATCAAATTTATTCCTTTTTTATCTTTTTTGGCTCATATTTTATTTTCTTAACCTTGAATAATATATTAAAAATTAAGATCATCTCTAATGTATTTTTTATTTTTTCTTCTAAAATATATGTGGATTTTCTTCAACCTATTTTTATTTTAATGGAAAAAGAAAGATTGTTACTTTTTCCTCCAATTATAAAAAATAATAACATTGCTATTTTTCTTCTAAATTAGAAGATTTAAAATAAAGGTGGGTTAGAGGTGTTTTAAACCAAAGACATATCCTCATATTTTTATAAAAAATCAAAGTCGTAAAGATTCATTTTTATTTTTACCTCTACTTCTTATTCATATGTTTATTTATATCAAATAAAATTTATAATATTTTTTTTATAAAATTTATGAAATCATATTTTATAAAATTCTACGGTAGCGGAAGCGTGGTGGGCCCATAACCCACAAGTCCTTGGATCGAAACTTGGCTCTGATACCAACTGATGGAGCGGAAGCTACTACAGATAGAACTAGATCTGTTGATTCTGAAAAAACCTGGAAACTAGGGTTTGTGAATACTCTTTACATTGGTTTATCAAAACCTCTTTTAGGAAATCTCCTTTCTATTAATTCATCAAAGTCTTAATTATAATGAATGCCTAAACGACTTATTTATAATAAATCATAAAAACCTTAAAATATTCTAGAAAGCTCTAAATAATAAATAATTATTATCTAAATACACAAATAACTAAATAATAAAGATATTTAAGATATTTGGAAATATTCCAAATATCACGCTGCATCATCTCTGCTCATCTCTTTGTCCAACATTGAGGAATTGGTTTGATGAAGAAAATAATTTTTTTATGGTTGGTATGCACGTATGTGTTCATTATAAAATTTTGAGCCACACATGTGTTTATTATAAAATTTATTTCTTAAGTTTTTGAAATGACTCTATAAAACAAAGTTTGAAAGTGTTACGGAAAAACAAAACTGTTGAGATTTTTTTTCTACTTCTTATTCATATTTTTGTTTTTGTATTTATAATTCATTTTTTATCCGGTTACATTGCGTTTTATTTCTGATCTCAAATTAGCGATCTACAGTGAGACTGTATATGAATATGATATAAAATTTTAATTTATTTAATAAAAAAGTATAAGAGATAAAATGAAATGGTAATGTAAGCTACGCAAATTCCAGAAAACAATAATATACAATTGTTAAAAATTATATACAAATAATAATATATCATACTCCTAACATTAATAATATATAGCGTACATATTATCTTATTAGATAATCTATTATTATTTTTCTATATAAAAATATAAAATATATATTGGTTGTAAAAAATTTGTAATCATATTTTATGCAATCTATTATAAATATATGTAAACAAATTGAAATCATAGTAATTATTATTTTCTATTTATTTAAATTTATTATTTTTAATGTTATAATCTATTGTATTTATGTTGTAATTTTATAATTTATTTAGTTATAATTCAAGCAATTAAAATATTTTATTTATTTTAGGAAATTTGTCATGTCACATTTCTATGTCACTATTAATTTACATTAACTTTTACTACACATCAAATTTTTTTATTAAACATGCTTCTCAAATAATAGGTAAGATGATTTTAAGCTCATTAATTTGTGATTTGCTATCTTAACTGTACACGCTAAAGAAACTTCCTCGTTGACCAAAAAAAATAAGAAACTTCCTCTGGTAGTCTTGTCCTCCTATTATCTACAGCCAGGGGCCACGGCAGGACTCTTACTCCTTACCTTCCATTTTGTTTTTATTCGTCCTTTATTTTTATTTTTATTTTCTCATATCTTGAAAAATCCAAAAATTATTTGGTAATCGTCAAATGCTTATTTATTTAATAATTTATTAATCTGTTCGAGTGAGTGTTATTAGGCTTTCGAATATTTAATCATTTAGGGAGGAACTATTGTCAACAAAACACACTTAGAAAAACACGTTACGTTACGTTTGGGGGTATTCCGTATTCTTTTCTTCTTTTTTTGCCATGGGGGTATTCCATATTCGGTACAGGGATAAAGCATGTACGTATATTGACTTGAATAAAATCGAAGTCTACATATAGAGGTTGATTTAGATAAAATAAAGCGGAATAGATGGGTGAACCAAGTTTATTTAAATAAAATTGGCGTTATGGTGTTGTTGATTGATATGATGTAGACTAGTCGTGACATTGTTTCTTGGTAAGGGAGAGCCAGAGGCTACTCATGACTCATGCATGCCCATATGTTTCTTGGCATGACCAAACTCATTTACCGTCATTTTATATGTTTTTTTTTTTTTGAACTTTTGCTTGTCATTTTATATGTTCACAAAAGAATAACTTACATGCATCACTAGACTCAAAGTGGGAAATCATCAAGTGGAATTTAACGGTATGAAATTATTTTATTCTTCTTTTGTTTTCGTTAGTGAAGAAGGCTCATCATCCCCAGTAGCCATCTCATTTTATCACCCCATCTCCATGCACCATGTGACCATGTCCATCCATGCATGCATGATGTCTGTAATAATACGTCTGTGATAAAAAAATACTATGAGAATAATAAAATATGTTTTTTTTATAGTCTACCGTTCACGTGTATTATTGGTATGATTCTAATCAGCGATATTAGCACAAACCAACAAATGATGTATTTAGAAAATATTATTGTTATATAATATCCCAAACCAGAGTTTAGCAATTGCATGAATCTCTGGCCAGTCTTAGGAGCATTTGAAAAAAGAAGTTTAGCTTTGCTTTTCCTTTCGGTATTGTTGGTACGTGTTCCTTTTCTTAAAAACACATTTTACTTGTTTTACTTCCTTTCTTTGTTCGCGATAGCTTGATTTTGGACTACTATGTCTCTCTAGATTATGTTATGTTTTAAACAAACTTGGGTGATTATGTCTCTCCCGATTATGTTCTGGGAAGCATCGGTAAGTCTGCGTTTTCTGGTTTAGGATTAACCTCTTCACTCCTCATCTCAGTTCCTTGAATTTATAAATTTAGTACTCTTCCTCCGCCTTTTGGACTAAAAGAATAGTTAGACCAACCTACTAAAAGAATAGTTAGACCAGTCTTAATGAAAACTTATTAAGAAGTGTTTAAAAAAAATTTCTTATTTTATTTTATGGATGTCTTAACTCAAAAAAGTATTTTATTTTAGACACTATTTTTTTATTTACTTTTATTACTAAGACATTTTACTTTAGACATATAAAGTTTTCTTTTGGAGTTGCTTTTAGTTAATGTAAGGCTAATTTTTGTGTGGAAATACAGAGGTTTTTTTGTTGAATTCAAGTTTTTTTTTTTGTTAAGTTGTTTTTTTTTGAAGTTCTAGAAATTTCTGCTTAATATTCCACTGTATACATATATTTTACTATAAATATTACTGAAATTTAGATTAAAGACAAGAGAAAAAAATTAAAAACAAGGCGATATCATTGCCACATACTCCCTCCGTTTTTTAATATTAGATGTTTTATAACTTTTTTCTTTTAAAATATATATAAAATTTTCAGAAATCAATGCAAAAATTATTTATAAATGACTTGTTTTATCTTTACATTAATTGATAACTAAATAATAACAAAAAGGTTATAATAAACATTTTTTAGTTTTTTTATAAACTAAAACTGAGGGAGTATTGAAAAGTCAGTGTAAGTGGTTATTGTTTATTTGAAGGGAGAATCGAAAGATAAAGAGAGAACAAAACGAGATGAAAATTATATATTTTCTTCTCTCTATACTCTATTTGTACCCCTTTCCTTCTACACTTCGATGGTTCGTTTGAAGAAAGAAAACCCTTTGTTTTACAAATCTCCCTCCTTTTTTTTCCCGTTAGTCTCGCCATCAATCGCGACTCTCCGAAACCTCAAAACCCTTCTAAAGATGAAACCTTTTGTTTCAATTCAAAGAGCGTGAATCAACTCGATTCGAACCGACATCATTCTCCTTCAGTTTATAAAATCTTGGAGGCTTTTTTTAAAAAAGAAAAAAGCAATTTGTAGGTTTGGTGCGCGACAGGTAAACAAAATCCTCTGAGTACTTGTTCTTCATTTATCCGTGTCCTTCTAAATTTGTTTAAATATTGTTGTTTATGTTTGACTTGAAAGCAATCTCTTTGACGTGTTGGTTAGGTGGGCTGCATAATTTATCTTAATTCTGCCGCGAACTGTAGAAATCTGTTTTCGAAGGAAAAATCTCTGATATTGATTTTTCGGTTTGACTATGCTTTTGGCAATTCGCTGTTATCCTTTTTTTCTGGTTTTGGTTTTCCAATTTTTCAACTCTGTCTTCTTTTCACTAATTGACTGCCACGAAAGGTGCGACTTTTATAGTAGCCAAAGTTGAAGTCTTTCTTTGGTTTACGGAACAGAGTGTGATGGGTACTCGTGGGGACGAAGAAGACGAAGATTGCTTCTTTGATGCTCATGCTCCTGAAGAAGAAGAAGAAGAAGAAGTAGATGTATCATCTGTTTCCCGGGAATTTGGAAGTTTACATCTCTGGACCAACAACCCTGACAGTGTTTCTAATCGACGGCGTAAGTTTTTCCAATCTATGGGGTTTAGTTTCAAAAAGGCCGCAGGAGACGTTTCCTTGGACTCCGATGAAGATGAACTTGAACCGCCGCAATCTCAACTTTCAAGTTCAGACTCGGTGGACGGCTCTTCTGGTGAAAGAGTGGAGGAGGTGGATTTGGTGTTGTCGAGGAACGATTCCTCTGGATTTGATCGATGCTCTGTTTCTTCATCCGATGATCAAGCCTTGTTGTCCAGGAACGAGTCCAGTAGTAGTAGCAGTAGTTTGCCTGAAGGATTGAGTGAATCCGGTTCAGGCAGATCCGGTAGCTTTGGCGATATTCACAGCTCTCTATCGAAGAAAGGGGCACAGTCTTGGTTAAAGAAGCTTGGTGTTTTGACACATGTCCTTGAGTCTGGAGACTGTGAATCAGTGGGGTCGCCGTTGAAGCGAATGGCCCGAGTTCAGGCATACAAAAAGCAGTTCAAGGAGCTCTCGGCTCTGTGTGTTGACCAAGAGTTTGCAGCGCATGATGGCTCCATCTTAGCCATGAGGTTCTCTCCTGATGGGAAATACATTGCAACCGCTGGTGAAGACTGCGTTGTTCGAGTGTGGTGCACAGTCGAGGAAGAGAGAACGGACAAGTATGAAGTAGCTGAGGTCGATTCTGGTGTGTACTTTGGGATGGATCAACAGTCTCAGATTGAGCCTCTGAATATGATGAGCACTGAGAAAACAGAGAAGAAGATGACAAGTTTTTTGAGGAAATCATCCGACTCAACCTGCGTTGTGTTACCCTCTAAGATCTTCGGTATATCGGAGAAACCTCTGCACGAGTGGAGAGGACACACCGGTGAGATCTTGGATCTTTCCTGGTCGGAGAAAGGGGTAAAACATCTTTTCAAACTCATTATGCAGTCTTTGATTGTGCATTTATATGTCTTCTTACAATTTCCCCACTTTGCTTCAGTATCTCCTGTCATCTTCTGTGGACGACACTGTTCGCTTATGGAGAGTAGGCTGTGATGAATGTCTCAAAACTTTCTCTCATAACAATTTCGGTGAGTCTCTTCTTCTCTTCTGTCTTGTTTGTGCTACTTTCATTCTTCTTTTCGTGATTGTGTACTCACTCACACCACCAAATTACTCAGTGACTTGTGTGGCATTCAACCCTGTGGATGATAACTACTTTATAAGCGGATCGATAGATGGGAAAGTCCGTATATGGGATGTAACCCGTTGTCGGGTTGTCGACTACACAGATATAAGAGACATTGTAACGGCTGTGTGCTATCGTCCAGATGCAAAGGTACTTTGAAAGAAGAGTTTGTTTTTTTCTTATTGACATAAGAGAGCAGTTGCTTACTAGAGATGTTTTCAGGGTGCAGTAATAGGTTCCATTACAGGGAGCTGTCGCTTCTACCGCATCCTCGGTATGTTTATTCACTTGATATAATGAGTAATGTAATTGACAATGAGCTGATTTTTTCATATTGTTCATTTTGCAGAGAATCAGCTGAAGATGGATAGAGAGATCAATTTACATGGAAAGAAGAAGGTTCCAAGCAAAAGGATCACTGGTCTAGCGTTCTTTCCCAATGACTCGGAGAAAGTAATGGTTACTTGTGCTGATTCACAGATTCGAATCGTATGTGGAGATGACGTGATCTGTAAGCTTAAAGGTTTGTAGTTTCTGTTGATAATGATTGCTTCTTCTCGATTCTGCTTGCTTAAGGAAACAAAAAAAGATGTAAACTTTGTCTGTGCTTATGGATGCCTGCAGCTTCTAGCCTTTGCACAACATCTGCTTCATTTACTTCAGACGGGAAACACATTGTTTCAACAGGAGAGGACTCCGGGATTCATGTGTGGAATCACTCTCTATTACCCAACAAGAAGACAGTTTCTGGAAAACTGAAAAGCATCCGGTCTTACGAGGGGTTCCTCTCACAGAATGCGTCTGTAGCTTTACCTTGGCTCAGACAGGAAAACCGGAACAGCCTGAGCGAGTGCATCACATGTTTGGAGCAGAAGCTAGGGAGAGTGGACTGCTGTTTCTCGCCAACGAAAGGGTCCACAACGTGGCCTGAGGAGGAGCTGGAAGAAGCTGCAACAACAATGAGCAGCAGAGGGGAAATGTTGAAGCTCGTGAGGAGCGCATGGCAGCCACACATGTGGGGGCTTGTGATAGTGACAGGGACTTGGGATGGAAGGATCAGAGTATTCAACAACTATGGCTTGCCGATTCGGGTCTAAAGTCGAAACAGACGAGAGAATGTAGTTACTATTAGATAGGATTCTTTTAATGTGTATACACAGTAGCACAGAGATATTCACAAAATGTATATGCTCTTATTTTCAGTAATATAATAATAATACGGTACAGTGTGGTACCGAAGCTATAGTAATCCCATATCCTAAATGCTTACAGCAAGATAAATGATATAAAGTCAAAGATGAGATAAGAGTCGGTGAGGAGTTGTGATAGACAAAGTTACCATCTTGAGAGGGAGAAGATGACGGATTCGGTAAAAAATAAGGTTGTGATGAATGCTGACAAGTTCCCATTATTAATGACAGATTCTCTAATTACCCCATTGGACTGTTCTAAGATAAATGTATTATAATTATGCAACAAAGTTGGGACAAGTAGTGAAACGGCGATGGGCACGTTGTAGTTGACCCAAGAGATCGTTTGGATAACATTTTGGCAGAGGCTCGTTTTCTCACGCGACCAATAATTCATCTTTCTTTAAAAGCGAGCCATTTTTTTAAAAGACGTCATTTTTCTTTTTTTTTTCACTTTTCATTCTCCTTCTCTTTCTCCTCCTCCTTCTCCGTTATCGGTGGTAAATTGATCCACTCAAGAAAATTCATTGAATTTGACGAAAACCCTGAGAATAATTTCAGGGGGAGGAGGAAAATTCGATGGGTTTTCTGGTGGATACGCAAAAGGAAGGAGGTGGACATTCATGGGGTTACCTCAGGAGTTTGGTCAGAAGGAAACAGGTCGACTCTGCAATCGCCTCTTCTTCTCAGCATCAGCTCGCCAAAGCCCTAACTGTTCCTCACTTGGTTGCAATTGGTAAATTCATTTTCAACATATTGTTCTTGCTTCCAAGAGACGAACGTGGTCAAAATCCTGGGTTTGGGGTTCTTATGATAGTTCTCGAGTTGGTCAATTGATCTGGATACGGTCAAAGACAAATACTTTATCATTGTTGAAGATTAAAGCCTTCGAATTTTGTGTGTATCAGGTGTGGGAGCAACAATAGGAGCAGGAGTGTATATTCTTGTGGGAACAGTTGCGAGGGAGCATTCAGGGCCGGCTCTTGCTTTGTCCTTCCTCATTGCTGGGATTGCCGCTGCGCTCTCTGCCTTCTGCTATGCTGAACTCTCTAGTCGTTGTCCCTCTGCGGGCAGTGCCTACCACTATTCTTACATTTGTGTAGGCGAAGGGTAATCATCATCATTTCTTGCTGCTTTCTGTTTTTCTGAAGAGCCTCTTTCTATTCGGCTAAACTTATTTTTGTTGTTTGTCTGTCAAAAGTGTTGCTTGGTTGATCGGTTGGGCTCTGATTCTCGAATACACCATTGGTGGCTCAGCTGTTGCCCGAGGCATATCCCCTAATCTGGTCTGTAAGCAAGATTCTCTTTTGCTCTCTCGTGTGTTTGTATCACTAAGCGCTCGTCGCTAAAGCTTTAGAAGGTTTACAGGCATTGATTTTTGGTGGGGAGGATGGTTTGCCTTCATTCTTAGCGCGTCACCAGATCCCAGGCCTTGATGTTGTTGTTGATCCGTGTGCTGCTATTCTAGTCTTCATTGTAACTGGCCTTTTGTGCTTGGGAATTAAGGAGGTAATATGATTTCCATCTTTGACGACGTCAGCATTATATTCCAAAATCGTATGTTTCATCTTACATGGAAATCTCTTCTTCTATGCAGAGCACATTTGCTCAGGGGATTGTGACTGCAGCCAATGTGTGTGTCTTGTTATTTGTCATCGTAGCTGGTACTTATCTGGGCTTCAAGACAGGTTGGGCTGGTTACGAACTCTCGACAGGGTAAGATGAGCATTCACTATGATTTTTGAGTTGGCATCATTGTTTAAGATTGATATCTTAAAAAAACGAAACCATTTCTCGTTTTCTAGGTTTTTTCCATTCGGAGTGGATGGGATGTTTGCTGGCTCTGCTACAGTGTTCTTTGCATTCATTGGGTTTGATTCGGTTGCAAGTACTGCAGAGGAGGTAGATTATGGAATCCATGCCCTTCTTTTTTTTGCTTTTGCCTTGTAGTTTGAAGAGCACTTCTAATAATGCTATCCACATGATCTATGGGCAGGTGAAAAATCCCCAACGGGATTTACCAATTGGTATTGGTCTTGCACTCTTCCTCTGTTGTTCTCTCTACATGATGGTCTCCATTGTTATTGTTGGTTTAGTTCCTTACTATGCCATGGATCCTGACACTCCCATTTCCTCTGCGTTCGCTAGTCATGACATGCAGTGGGCCGTGTAAGTAAATGATTCATTTAAGATCCAGCCTGTTTCCATTCGACTTAGAAGACATGTTTATGAGATTAATTGCTTTCTCTTTGGGAATTTGATGTAGATACTTGATTACCTTAGGAGCTGTCATGGCACTCTGCTCAGCTTTAATGGGTGCCCTTCTCCCTCAGGTAATCTATAAGAGTAAAAAATCAAGGAGTCTTTTACGTTGGTGTGTGGTTGTTACTCAGTATGGCTATTTTTCATTTGGCAGCCGCGAATTCTGATGGCAATGGCTAGGGATGGTTTGCTACCTTCTATCTTCTCAGACGTTAACAGAAGCACACAGGTCCCGGTGAAAGCGACCATAGCAACTGGGATTTGTGCGGCAACCTTGGCGTTCTTTATGGATGTTTCACAGCTTGCAGGCATGGTAAGGGCACACATTATTGTTTTAGTGTTCATTCATGATGGAACTTTTTTTTATGTAGTATTTGAGAGCTGATGGTGGTGGTGGTGGCGCAGGTGAGTGTTGGGACACTTTTGGCATTTACGATGGTGGCAATATCAGTGTTGATACTCAGATATGTTCCTCCAGATGAGCTACCTCTTCCGTCATCTCTTCAAGACAGAATTGATTCTGTTACATTTGATCATGTTGGGTCATCGAGTAGTAGCACAAAACAGCCTTTAATTGGGAAGAATGATGCTCCGGTTCATTTCCCAGTTGTCGAGAAGCAAGAAGCTCTTGGGTGCTGTAAGTGACATCCATTTTTGAGACCACTCGTGTATTTTTTTTTATGCTTGCTTGGTTACTAACTTACTAAATGTCTTGTGAATGATATTGTAGGGGTTATCAGCGAAGAGAAGAGGAGGACAGTCGCGGGATGGAGCATTATGTGCACTTGTATTGGGGCCTTCCTTCTAAGTTATGTGGCATCAAGCCTCAACTTCCCAGGGTTAGTTAGATATCCACTGTGTGGTGTTGGTGGAATCCTGCTCCTTGCTGGTTTGATTGCTCTGACTTCTATAGATCAAGATGATGCCAGGCACACTTTTGGACATTCTGGAGGTAATATAATTGATTTTGGTAAACAATAAGCGTATGTAGATATGCATTTGTATCATGTGTGTTGAAATGCATTTTTGTTTCACAGGTTTCATATGCCCGTTTGTTCCACTCCTGCCAATCATATGCATACTCATCAACATGTACCTTTTGGTCAACCTTGGGTCTGCAACATGGGGTCGTGTCTCGGTGTGGCTGCTCATTGGAGTGGTTGTCTATGTTTTCTACGGCCGAAAACACAGCTCGCTCGCAAATGCAGTTTACGTTACTACAGCTCATGCGGAGGAGATATATCGTGAACATGAAGTTTCTTTGGCTTAGTCTCAGAAACTCATCTCTTTGGGAATAATATATTATACATAATGTAACAATATCTGTATTATTTTGATTTGGATGCAACTACAAGAGACTGGCATGATATATACTCCCTACCACAAGACTCTTTTGTAAATAATTTCATAATCAGAAAAGGCTCAGAACGCTTTTCAGTTATATATATATCAGAACGGAGTTGTTCACCGGGAACGTGTTGGTCGAGCCAATGGACTGATGTTTGTAGACAGGATCAGGAATAAGAGATAACGGAGCCTGTTTATAGTAAAAAAAAGATAATCATCAGCGAAAATCTCTTTCAATTCTAAACAATCTTTTTTCAATTCTAAACCGTGAGAAAATGTCTTTTAAACAAACTTTTTCATATTTGCAATTCTAATTTATGCGGTATGATGATGGCAAGGTATCTCTCTCAGTGGGATGCTGTCTTTCAAACTAGCACTCTTTTCACAGAATGATGATTTTACAAAAGGATAATAATAGATAAATAATCCTCTCAAGTCGAAACTCTAAAGGCTTCAAGGCCAGGCACCCCATTTCTGGCCCTGATCCGGGCGACACCACTCGGCATCTACTTTTTTATTCGCTTTGCCATTATTGTCTTGTTGAGTGGTTGTTAATGGCCAAAGGTCTCCCCAAAAGGATTTCTTGGCCAGCGAGTGAAGAAGAGGGTTCTTGCTTTTGGTGAGCACTCTCCTCTCAAACGCTCCCTCTGAGGCCTCCTCGTTGCTCGGCACACACATATCCAACGTCACTTGCTTCCCCTTACGAAATGGAGGGAATATGATCCTTCCCCATCCTCCTCCCACGCTCGCCCTCCCTCTCTCCTCCTCCTCTTCAGTACCTTCACCGTCTCCTCCTCCTTCCTCCTCCTCATCAGTACCTTCACCGTCTCCTTCCTCCTTCTCATCAGTTCCTTCACCGTCTCCTTCCTCCTCCTCCTCATCAGTACCTGCACCGTCTCCTTCTTCTTCCTCCTCCTCCTCCATGACATCAGAGTCGTATTCTTTTGGATCCATGTAAGGCACCTCAACCACCTGTGATTTGATAAAATCCTCTGCAAATGGATACGCATATCCGTCAGCCACACAGCTCAAAAGGGATGTGAGCATTTATCTCATAATGTAGCCGCAGACTTACCATAATCAATCTCGAGATCCTCGGGCTTCCTACTCGCGCGCATCTCCTTCAAAGTCTCCAACTTCATACCATCCAGAGGCCATGGTTCCCTTAAAAAATTCAAGCCATAACCCAAAACTCAGTCCTTCACAACTTTTCTCTAAAGGTTTGATAATAATCATTCAACATCGCGAAACTACCAACCGTGGGCGCTGACCTCTCCTGAAAACCACAAAAGAGAACTTCTCATCCTCAAACCCACGCAAGGGGACACCTTTTGTACGCTGCACAACGATAAGGTTTTTGGGTTTGGATTCATCAGCAAACAGAGAGAGATGACTGAAATCTATATATTTTCACGCAGAGAACAACACATAAGCAACCTTGTAGGAACGCTGGGACGAAGTTCTCTGCAACCGCTGAACAAAATGGCAATACTTTCCAGTGTTTTCCAACGGGCATTTTCCATCATGAGGGCACTGCGTTTGCAAACAATACATTTTATGCAAATTGTTTTCCTAGAAACTAAAAGAGCAGCTTCTTGACCAAGTGAAGGAGACTTTTCAGTATTGACACTTACTGGAGCAACAATATGGGCACCCGATTTGAGATCGAGCACGTCCTTTCCATCTTTCTTCATTTTGCTTTCCAGTTTACGCAGTTTCTAGACAAATGAATAATATTGCAGATTAGCAGAAGAGCGATAAATCACTTCTGACAACAGAGACAGATTGTCATTTGAGTATGAATATAAATGTAAGCAAATGAAAACTACCCTCTTCTCCATCCACAGTAAATGGGATCGCATCTGAGATATAATATTAGCACCATGTGGCGTTCCTGGTTCAATCAAAACCTGTTCAACCAGATATTTATGTAAAGGATCCGTAAAACGTATTCAAATCAAAATGCACGGTGAACACATAGACAGTATTTGATTTGAGGAGAAGAGTATAAAAGAAATCACTGGGCAGAACGAGAGATGACAAAAGTCAAAACAAAAACATACCAAGAGATCATCCGTAAGGTCCCAGAGCTGGCGAACCACAGTAATCCTGTCTTTTAGAGACGGTATCTCCCCTAGCACATAGGACTTAACCACCACAGCAACAAAAGAAGAAACATTTGGGATTTAAATCAGTAAACAAGAAACGATCACAAGAAAAGAAAAAGAGATAACCTACAGCGATCACAAGATCATGTTTCCTCTCGGCATCTTTGGAACTTTTGCAGTTAGATTTTTTGTTGATCTGTTCGCAAAGAGCTAGCAGGCTAGTATACCCATGGATGAGAGGCAAATCCTTGAGGCCTATCATATTCACAACAAAGTGAGATGAGAGAATCAACCAAACACGTAAAGTGCTTGTTACAAGAGCTTTGGTATAAAAGTCAATTACCCTGAATCAAGTTCCGTCCTGCACGCTGCATCGATTGCGATGGTTCCACAATATTGATCTTCTCCGCAGACTTTGGCCAAACCTCTTGAACCGCCCTACAAGATGTTACAAAGAATTAAGAACAAAAACGGGAGAGTGTATAATCAGGAAGCATTTAGTCTCCTCACCAGAATCCAGAACCGGTGCCGGCACCAAAATCCAGCACTTTTGTAGGCGCAAACTCTGGTAACCTTCGACGAATCTACAACAAGTTAAGCCGTGTTTATATAACCAGAAGAATACAATCTACATGAATCTCACGTCTGGTATCACTAATCAGCATCTATAACCCATAAATCACAAAAATTCACAAAGTCCATTGTATCTCCGGCGAAAAGAAGAAATCTGTAAATGACCTCAATGAGTACTCTGTAGCAGACGGAGAAGACGGCGGGCATGCGAGAAGCAATGTAAGCGGCGGTCTCGCCGTCTCTGTATTCGAGGCCGCTATCTCCATAAACGGTCTGAATCTTCCATCGCTTGGTCTCCACCGAGTTCATAGAGTCTGCTAAACTCTTGGCCGTCGTCTCAGGCAACAGCAGGTTCGTGTCCTTAATCTCTTGGAATGATTCCGATAACTGACGCACCTTCTTCCTAATGTGCGGATCATCTTCCTCTGCAGCACCACCCACAAAACAAAACACTTGTTTAATCTCAAGGAAATTTGAAACTGGATCGAACAAACTTGAAGGTTACGAGTACCGCGAAGATATATCTTGATAGCCCGGCGGAGACGGACGGGAACGACGAGGCATCGGAGGCACTGCCTGGCAGCAGACCTTAACGTTTCGGCAGTGAAGACTTTCTGGGCATTCGCCATTTCAGCCGGAGCTTGATGTTCCGTTTTCAGGCGAGGTTTTAGTCCCGGGGAAGGAAGGAGAAAGGGTCTAGGGCTTAGCGCCATGGGCTCTCTTGCTATTCTATTTTCAAATTTAGATGGGCTTAGCGCCATGGGCTCTCTTGCTATTCGATTTTCAATTTAAAATGGGCTTAGCGCCATGGGCTCTCTTGCTAAATACCAAATGATTATCTAATGGGCCTATAAAAACAAGTTGATAGTAATAGCATTGCTATACGTGAATTGATCTGTTCTATATATATATATATATATATATGTATATGTATATTTTGAACATTGTGTTCAAGATATTTTCAAACCAAACAAACCGTATTTGGCGTGGAGATACGATTTCATAATATCCAAACTGATGTTATTATGAAACCAAACAAAACATGTATATTGATTGTGCTAGATTGACGACGTAGGTAGGAATCAATCATCACATAAGCAGGACATAGCTAGATTTTACAAAACCCTACAAAGCTATTCTTATATTTACATGACAAACCACAACCACATATACAAAAACATATAGGCAGGCTTATACACACAAACGAACATATAGGATATATTGCTAGACCTATATTAATATAAAACAAAGCTAATTTAATTAGGTATCATTCATTACAGGGATTTGGGATTTAATTGTTTTTGTCGTCGCATCACCTTTTTGTTTGATAAACATTTGGAGTGGAAGCTGGAGAAACCAACAACTCAGAAGCAGTCCACAATCTCTGAGCCTTAAGACTGCACGATCCGAATTTAGATGTCCGAGTTTCGTTGCAGTCGGAGAAGTACTTGCCGCACACGTTCCTCAGTCTCGGACTTGTTGCCACGTAACATGTCGTTGCTGCTGCCTATAAATAAGAAATAAACCAATTTATATGTTTGTCTTAGGTTATATAGAGAAATGAAAATCGAAACACACACACTGACACACGATTATTGATGTACCTGAGGAACAGACTTCAATAGCTTGGAGGTCAAGAAAAACACTAAATCTGTGACGAAGCCTTCTCGGTCTCTTGTGAGACGTGTTCTCACGATTCCAGGATGAACACAGTTTGCCGTAACATTAGCATCCATGTTCTGCAGTGATTTGAAAAAGTTATTAGTAACATATTGATTTGAGATCAATCATATGTAAATGAATAAAAATGATTTTACATGGAGAATCCGTGAGAGCTCAGTGGTGTGCAGAACGTTGGCGAGCTTGGATAGCGCGTAAGCTCGGGTCGCGTCGTAATTCCTACAAAACGCAAGTCAAAGCGGGTCAAACTCATGTCCCAAACACGGTCTTAATTCATTTAGTATATAGTTTATTATTCTCTCTAAAGTATAATAATAATTTAGTAGAGACGAGGACGACGGCGTATGTTTTTGTCGTCGCATCACCTTTTTTGTTTAATTATTGGCAAAATGATTTGATTGGAATGACTCTTATTAATATAGTAAATAAAAATGTACCTGTTGTTTCGGGAGATATCGGCGAGATATTGCAACAAGTCGCCGGAGAACCAGCTGTGGATAACGGAAGTGACGTTGACGATACGGCCTTGAACGCCGGTAAGTTTCGCCGTGTGGATCAGATTGTTGAGCAAAAGTTTAGTGAGCAGAAAATGGCCGAGATAGTTAGTGGCGAACGTCATCTCCACACCGTCCTCGGAGATGGCGTGCTTGTGCGCGTATTTCCCGGCATTGTTGCTGAAGAAGATTTAATTAGATGAAAATTAATTAATTAATTTCGTCGGATTTAATTACCATGATTATGGGAGAGTTTAAATAAGTTTAATTACATGAGGATGTTGAGAGGGAGGTGAAGAGATTCGAAATCGGCGACGAATCGACGAACGGAGGAGAGGGAGCTGAGGTCGAGATGCATCACGATGATCTCCGCATCCGGAAACTCCGAGAGGATACGCGACTTTGTTTCCTCGGCGGTTTTCACACTCCGAGCCGGAATCACAAGCCTCGCCCCGCGCTTAGCCAGAACACGCGCCGTCTCCGCTCCGATCCCCGACGTCGCTCCTTTTTTTATTTGATTAAACAGAGAAACGATTAATTATAGGAAACTCGACTCAGTGGGTTAATTAATTCGAAATCGAATCAAGAAGAAGTGATTGTACTACTAACCAGTGATGATGGCAGTAAGAGATCGGAGATCAGAATTAGCAGTGACATGATCGGCGGTGGATCTAGAGCCGAATCCGCTGCGGCCACCGGAGCCGATCAGGTGCTTAACCGTCTCAATCATCTCTCTTTCTCTCTCTGTGTTTCTGTTATGTGAGTTGGAGAATATTTTGAGTGTACATGTTGGGGTCTATGGGGGTTAGTATTTATAGTGCTACGTGTTGGAGAAACATTCCATGCGAGATGCGGAGAAAGGAGACAACACTCTTCTATGTTGTTTATTTTTGAATTTAATTACTAAACATTTTTTGTTTGTAGTAAAAATTAAAAAAAAAAATCAAGAGAGTATAAAAAAAGTTATTGATTGGCACCAAAAACAAAACGAAAACCGAAATTATGCGATTTAAATAAAGGTTTAGTTAGCCAACTCTAATTGACTAAGACAAATTATAGAGGATGATGAGTCACGGAGCAAAAAATTATACTTGAAATTGGGTGATTACAAACCATATTCCTCCAAAGTATACAAATAAAAACTGTGATATTACAAGTGGAAACAATGCATAGATAGTGCCATGTTTTGGGTAACATTCACTATTTATCAATGATGTCCAACTTTCTAATGGTATTATCCTCGGAATCTTTTTACATTCTCTCATACCATGCATATTATTCATTTTATTTGTCTAATCATTACTTAATTAGCGGTGGACAAAAAAAAAACATGTTCAAATTCTTTATCTCTCACCTAGTCACACACTATATAAAAAGTTCAGGTTTATCTACTGGACCTAAGACTTAATAGACAAACAATCCCGTGTGTATAGCTAGTTTCTTGTATTTAGAACCTATGAACCGAACTTTATATTAGTTTACATTCAAATACATTTTAAATAGTGTATACGTAATTTACTGAGAAGCTTGTTAGAATGTTCATATGTGTAGCTATTATTTAATAAATGTTTAATTAGAACACCCCACTTTTGCATGGAATATACCACTCTTTAATTATAAAATTTCAGTTTTGTAACAAATACTACGCGTATGGCTGGGATGTCTGCAAACACAGTAGTTGTTAATGTTTTTTTTTTTGGTTTTTGCTGAATATTAGTAGTTGTTAATGTTATGAATGCTACGAGTGCATTTTCCACCGCTTTATACTGTAAACGAGGGAATAAAAAAAGACTTGATAGTGTTAAATCTAACATACTGTATATAATTTGCATATGATCTTAATACATCAGAATTCCTCAAACACATACTTAGTTAAGTGTTATGTTGAGAATATTCTTAAATTCCACCTTTAAGTAGACTGTCTTGTAGTTATTTTTGCTTGTGAAAATTGTAAGTGGTCTAAGCAAAAGATACGGTGGGGATTTTGGAGAATGGCACAATAGAGTGAGCTAATTGGTCTCTTTGTTCTTGGAGTATCCAATCCATCAATGGATGAGAAGAAGATCTTCAAGGCTGAATGTGATAAACATTAAAAAGTAATCTTACCCAAATCCAACTACTACCCACTAACAATTCCACTCATTTCTATTTATAAAGTATATTTGTTTTTGTTTAATAATTAATATGTTTCAACTCCAAGCTATACATGTGTCTTAATTATTTGCAGGTCTAGAAGGATCCATCTAATTTGTGTTAAACAATTGCCTCATACAGTTTTAATTACAAATGCTCCCACCTCAAACTCAATATAAGGATTTTACTTATTTTTCAAGAGGATCAGATCATAAATATCAGATTATTTGCATATCCTCTATAGTTGTTGGATATGTAAAAAGAAATACAAAAGGAATTACAGGTTATGGAGGACATATTCAAATGTATTTATTAACCTCAAGGTTTTTTTGTCTGACTCACCAGGAAAAAAAGAAAAAGCAATGATTTACATTTTGTGAATCTATCATAAATATTTTCAATGATTGGTCTAAATTTTGAAAATTTATGGATCCAAAATTCAATTATTTTTCTTTATTAAAAGAAGAAGATGGTCCAACCTCCAAGAATCAATTATTAATCAAAAATTTGCAGGATATAAAAATAATAAAAGGAAAATGATAGAAAGGACGTTGAGATAAACTCAAATTAGATGAAATGTTGTGAATAATAAAAAACTCCTCCACCTTGGGAGGCCTTGTCTGTTTCTAAGGATCCCGCACTATGTAAGAAGATTAAAAATATATAGGATCGTTGGGTGAGAGACGTTGAATATAACAATATAAAGTTTTTGATTAAACGTAATTAAGAAAAGAGACTCCTCCACCTTTGGAATTGGAATGACATTGACAAAGTTGGAATCTTAAGTTGCTTTATGTTAACACGGGTTAGGTTGTGTTATTGGATACCAACTTATTTGCCAAGAGAGAGAGTGAGAGAGAGTTGGTCAAATCCTCTTTGTGTTTGGCATGCCACTATATAACTATTGCTACCATTTCTTTTATGTTGTTCGTAACCAATCACATACTAAGTTTTATTGGTAGCCTTTGGCGAACAATACATATATTCAAGCTATGCATGGTCCATACGTTTTGAGATTAACTTTAGTGATTCTGTCTTTTGTATAGCCAGTTTAATACTCCTTGTTCCATACATCATATGTGTTGACCGACGTTAACACTGTTTTAAAAATCTAGCTAATGATGAAATAAAGATTTATGAAACTTAGTATAACTAAGAGCAACCCCAATGGTAACACTACTATAAAAGGTCTTAATGATTAATTATTAATATTTTGTGTACTTTATATATATAAGACACTTAGTAGAATTTTGTTGTTTTTAAGTATACAATGGAGACACTTTGATGAGTGTCTTAAAAAAAAATTAATAAATTTATGTAAAATTTATTTTAACAAATTTTAAATCATAATATATTTTCACAAAGGTAATACATATAAACATATAAATTATAGAAATGCAATTCAATGCTTGCTGAGAAGCCTTCTCCTTTAGAATTCCAGTGCTTGTTGCTAGGCATGAGATTTCGGATACTTCGGATAATTTAAATCGGATAATTTGGATAATCAGATAGTTTGTATTACTGAAATTCTACCGAAAATAACCGAAGTTTCTTATCTGAAACTATCCAAACTTTTAATTTTTTTTTTAAATTAGGTTAAATTCGGTTAATTTCGGATAGATTCGGGTTATTTCGGATATTTTCGGATAGTTTGAATATTCGATTCGGTATAATTTGATATATTTTGGTATAATTTGTTTTTCTTAATAAAAAAAAATTTGGGTAACCGTTCGATTCAGCAAACCGAACCGAACTGAACCAGTTAGAGAGAAAGAGGAAGACAGAAACGAAAAATAAAAATGAAATATTTTTTTGTCAATTTTCCCTATCCACTTATAATCTGCCACGTATCCGTTTTTAAATAAGAACAAAAATCCTAATTTAGACACTGGTCTAAAAGTTAAGACACTCTTTATCATTTTTTTATTTAATTATATTCTTAAGAACATTTATTAGATCCCTTGGTGTTACCATTGGGGTTGGTCTAATATTCTATCGATGAACGAAAATTTGCGAGCAAACTTGGTATAAACTTAGCTATTACTTACCGACTTGGTAGTAACTAAGAGCTAGTTCAGTGTCTTGAAGATCTAAGTAGCCGCAAAAAAAAGAGAAATCCAACCCGATCGGGTGAATATTCTTGTAACTTTTTGTTTTTTTTTTTCTGACATGAAGATTCTTGAAACTTTGTGATTAAAGTAACGTCGAACACATAGTAGTACCCTTGTAACTTGTAGCCGGCGATATATCCTATAAAGTTTATTTTTAAAAATATTTCTTTCACTATACTTAACATTTTAAAACTTTTGATGGTGTGACGGATTATTAGAGATCCCTTACGTCTTAGCATACAAGATCGTATCTTTCTTTTTCATGTATTTAATATTTATGCGTTAATCACACTAAAATTAAAATAAGTAAGCAACGAGGTTCATTGATCAAACACAGCCACGAGATTCATGAGATATGTGGATTGATATGAAACGTCTCCGCGTAAAATTCCTAGTCAGATTCAACCTACAAAATTTCAAAATAAGCATTCTTTACCATTGTTGAAGATCTTGTGTGATTAATTTAATAATCGATTGCAGGTGTATACAAATATTCAAAGAAAAAGATAAGATAAAGAAAGTCAAGTAAAAATGAGGGTCAATAGTTGATGCAGCAGAGTTTTATGATGAATCACTTTCCTAAGCATGCCTAAAATCAGGGTATTTATAAAATAAATGGGTTAGCACTTAGCACAAGGTTTTTGACTCGAGAAGTCAAAAAAGCAGAGAAACGATAATAAAGGGGAAGCATGGAATCAATGGACAAGTGTTGGAATCACTGACAATTCGATGTTTTGTAATGTCATTTGTATAGGAGAAATGAGTAAAGTAACGGTTGCTTTGTTGCAGAAGACAGTTTGCTCTGGAGATGAAGAGAGACTGATCCTTAATGTGCAGCAAGACAAAAAAAACCACCTGGAAGCAGAAAACCAATCAAAGCCATGTTGACTGATTAAAACCCTAATTTGATTAGGAGATTAATAATAAGTCTTTGCCTCCTCTCCTGTTTCACATCCATGTTAACGAGACATTCTCTGAACCGACCACAGTATAAAGAGAAAGGCATGTTACTTTTTTTTGATGGGCAAAAATCAAGGAGAGTGTGAGGAAGTGAAACTGATGGAGTCAAACAAGCAGGTGAAGAAGAAGAAGAAGCTGACACCAAATCGGTCATTGAAGGAGAAGAGAGCGCGACTTTACATAATTAGGCGATGCCTCGTCATGCTGCTCTGTTGGAGAGAGCCTCGTGATTGATTCAGAAGAAGATAGCTAACTCTACAGAGTAAAACTAGAGATACCTTTTACACAAGAGAAAAAGAAGAAGAGAAGACTCTCTCTCATCACATTTTTCAGATCATATGGAAGGTGACTCCACTCGATCCAACACAACATGTCAATGCAGATGCTACACATTACACAAACCTCTAGAGGACAAGGGAGGTACACAAGACAGCATGTCAAAGGCACTAACCCTGAATTATGCAACGTAGCTATCTTCTTTTCTCAGCCTTACGCACATTTATGTTTTTGTCATTACTATTAGAATACATACTACAGTTGGTACTATGAAGGAATCAGAGACTGTTTCTTTCTGCTCTTAGCCTCAATCTTTCAAACTATAAACTATGTTTGTATATATATGTACAGAAAAGGTATATGAATGTGAGTAAATTTTAAGAATTTCAAGATCAATCATCTGATAACGATCACAGAGATACACATGCCTAGTAAGATAATAGTACTTTGTGTTCACAGCGAAGAAAGCGTAATGCACAGATAGTCAAAATCACACAAAATTCCTTTTATCATCAATTATTCGTTCCTTACACACCAAAAGATCAAACATTGAAGAAACCCTAAACCCATTGAGATTCCCAAATCACACAGAAAGTAAGTTGGAGAATTTGGAAATGGAATCGGAGAGTGACCGTTTAGACAATGTCGTGGGAGGGATGAGGAGCAGGGAGGAAGAGAGGACGATCCTTAGCCTCGAATTCGTCGAGGTCATCGTCGTCGAGATCGGTGGTGGTGAGGTTGAGGCAAGCGCAGCGTTCAAGGGAGGTGAAGAAGGCGGAGACGACGGAGGAGCTCACCCATGTGGCCATCTGATCGAGCTTCACCCGAGAAATCACGCTCACGGCGCCATTGTTGCTGCCGTTCTCCTCCATTGATGGGAGATGTTCTTTTCACTGAGATCGATCGGAGTTGAGAAAATTGTCAAATAGAGGAGGAGGAGGTTTGCTTAACGCCTCATTTCCTGGGCGATTTTGACTAATTAACAACTAATTCCCTATCTATGGGCTTAATAACTACAAACAATCATACTTACTTGTAATCACGTTGTCAATTAACTACACCAGTCTTTCAAAACGGCGTCGTTTAGCGAAACAATTAACCCCCTTTTGTTCCTTCTTCTCCGGTGGCCCTCTCTGCTCGGCGTCGTCACATCTTCGACTGTTCGCGTCGACAGTCCCGAAAAAGAAAAAAAAAAGCCAGAGCTTGTATTCACTAAGGCCGAGCAAGAAGCTCTAATTGGATGCGGAGGTCGATTCTGACTCCGATTGCGTCAACGGCGAAAGGAATTCTCTTCCGGCATCTCCTGAAGAAAGTTAATCGGACTGCAACTTGTCTCCAAAGACGAGCCTTTTCTGGTGGAAGTGATTACAGAGAGAAGCTGAGAAGTGGGCTTCACTCTGTCAAGTTTGAAGACGCGCTTGATTTGTTCATTGACATGGTTCACTCTCAACCCCTTCCTTCCATTGTTGATTTCAGTAGATTACTCACTGCCATTTCCCGTATGAAAAGGTATGGTGCTGTGATCAATCTCTGTCGGCGTTTGGAAATGATTGGACTTTCACACGATCTCTATAGCTTCACCATTCTGATAGATTGTTCCTGTCGATGCTCTCAGCTCCCTCTTGCTCTGTCTCTTGTTGGAAAGATGACGAAACTCGGGTTTGAGCCCAGCATTGTCACTTTTGGCTCTCTGCTCAGTGGACTCTGCCGCGCGAACAGGATCGACGAGGCCTTCTCTCTGGTTGTTTCGATGGTGAAATCGGGATACGTTCCTAACGTCGTAATCTACAACACTCTGATTGATTGTCTTTGCAAGAACAGTCATGTGGATACCGCGTTGCAGCTTTACAACCAGATGGAAGTGGAAGCAGATGTTGTTACCTACAACACTCTCATAACCGGCGTTTGTAGTGATGGCAGATGGAGCGAAGCTGCTCGACTACTCGGAGATATGAAGAAGAGGAGGATAAACCTCGACGTTATCACTTTCACTGCACTGATCGATGCGTTCTTGAAAGAAGGGAGCCTTTCAGAGGCCCATGAGCTGTACATGGAGATGATCAGAAGCTCTGTAGTTCCTAATACCGTCACTTTCAACTCGCTGATCAATGGGCTTTGCATGAACGGTCGCCTATACCAAGCCAGAAAAACGTTTTCTTCGATGGGCTGTCCCCGAAACGTAGTGACGTATAATACTCTCATAAATGGGTTTTGCAAGTCTGAGAGAGTAGAGGACGGGATGAAGCTAATGCGGAGGATGTCTATGGAAGGATTGGTCGGGGACACATTCACTTACAACACTCTCATCCACGGTTATTGTCAGGTGGGTAATCTCAGAGCTGCACTATACATTTACGACACGATGGAATCTTGCGGCGTGACTCCTGATATTGTGACCCGCTGCATTCTGTTACATGGCCTTTGTGTCAATGGGAAAGTAGAAAAGGCAATGGGGAGGTTCGAAGATATGGGAAGAAGCGGCAAGTATCTTAGTATTGTTGCGTATAACATCGTGATCCACGGGTTGTGCAAGACGGGTCAAGTCGAAAAAGCTTGGGAGTTGTTTTGTGGACTGACTTCACAAGGAGTGAAGCCTGATGCAAGAACATACACTACAATGATATTAGGACTGTGTAAGAATGGCCCACGCCGTGAAGCCGATGAGCTGTTTAGAAGAATGAAAGAGGATGGGATTATATGACATTTTGTGTTGTGTGTAGATTGATTTGGTCATGACCAAGTTGAAGTGTGAGGCGTGTAAAGAAGAAGCGGTCATGAAAGCATAAAGCTGTTGCAGAGACATGTAAATGTTTAATCTTTCATAGTTAAGCAGGTGTTGTTGCATAGAGAAACTTGAACTGATTTAGCATTGATTTGTAATCTAACAAAAGCCAATTTTGTAGTCTTGTAATTTTCTTTTATGCAATCCAAATGAAATTTCCGACAAGAAGCAGAGCTGAGAAATGTTGCAGTGTAAAGTTGTCTTTTTTTAGCCAAACCAAAGTCTTGAAGATTTGTCTTGAAACGTCGTCGTTTTAAACAACGATTCAGTAGTATTCAGAGATACCTTTCGTTGCCGGAGCAGGAGGGGTCGTCGTTGATAGGGTTCGTCGCAAAGTCAGAGAGATTGGATTGGAAACGAACCAAAAGCCCACAAATTTGGATGCCGAGATCTATTGCGAATGCGACTGCGTCAACGGCAAAGGGGTTTCTCCGCCGGCGATTTCTGGAGAGAGGTAATCCTGAGACTGCTCACTCCTTTTGTCTGATCTGGTCTCGACCTTTCTCTGGCGCGAGCCATTACCGAGAGAGACTGAGAAGTGGTGTGCTTCACTCTATCAAGTTTGATGATGCTTTTGGTTTGTTCTGTGAGATGCTTCGTTCCCGTCCCCTCCCTACCATTGTCGACTTCACCAGAGTTTTGACCGCCATCGCCAAGATGAACAAGTACGACATCGTGGTCTATCTCTGCCACAAGATGGAGAATTTTGGGGTTTCACACGATCTCTATAGCTGCACCATCTTGATAGATTGTTTCTGCAGATGCTCTCGGCTCTCTCTCGCCCTCTCTGTTCTTGGGAAAATGATGAAACTCGGGTTTGAGCCCAGCATTGTCACCCTTGGCTCTCTCCTCAATGGCTTCTGTCGCAGGAACAGGTTCCACGACGCCGTGTCTCTCGTTGACACGATGGCCAAGTCGGGACATGAGCCCAATGTTGTCATCTACAACACTGTGATTAATGGTCTTTGCAAGAACAAAGATGCGGATAACGCTCTCGAGCTTTTCAACCTGATGGAGATGAAAGGAATCAGAGCGGACGTCATCACCTACAACACTCTGATAAGCGTCCTCTGTAACTCTGGTAGATGGAGCGAGGCGGCTCGGCTTCTGAGAGATATGGCGAAGAGGAAACTCGATCCTGACGTCATCTTTTTCAGCGCACTGATCGATACATTTGTGAAAGAAGGGAATCTTTTGCAGGCTAAGAAATTGTACAAGGAGATGATCCGGAGGTCTATAGATCCTAACATCTTCACTTACAACTCACTCATCAATGGTCTTTGCATTCATGGTCGCCTTGGTGAGGCCAAACAAATGTTTGATCTGATGCTGCACAAGGGCTGTTTCCCGGATCTCGTGACGTATAATACTCTCATAAACGGATTTTGCAAGTCTAAGAGAGTAGAGGATGGGATGAAACTCTTGTGTGAGATGGCTCATCGAGGATTGGTCGGCGACGCCTTCACTTACAACACTCTTATCCACGGGTATTGTCAAGCGGGCAAGCTCAGTGTTGCACAAAAGGTTTTCAGTCGGATGGTCGACTGTGGTGTGGCTCCTGATATTGTGACCTACAACATTCTGTTAGACGGTCTATGTAATAGCGGGAAGGTGGAGAAAGCGATGGTGATGGTGGAGGATATGCAGAAGAGTGAGATGGATGTTGATATAATCACATATAGTATCATCATTCAAGGGATGTGTAGAACAGGCAAGGTGAAAGAGGCTTGGTGTTTGTTTTGTAGCCTCACTCTCAAAGGAGTGAAGCCTGATGCTATAGCTTACACCACAATGATATCAGGATTGTCTAGGAAAGGCCGACGGCGTGAAGCGGACAAGCTGTGTAGAAAAATGAAAGAAGATGGGATTATGCCAATTAGAGATCACGACACAGGCTCATCGGCTGAACTCATCAAAGTGATTCATGAGTAAAAAAGCCTTGTGCACAGGTGCTTGTGACAGTAAAAGGTCATTGATATGTTACTATGATGATGGCCTTAAAGCGCTATAGGCATGAATCAGAAAGACAGAACACAGCTCCAAAGCCAGTTTTGTTGTCAATGTTGATTTTGCTTTGGAAAAGATGAATCGTGTGGTGTGAAAAGAAGCACCAATAATCCATGGGTGAGTTGCAGTGTTGTACATGTTGTATCTTCCATAAGCACATTTGTTGCGTATACAAACTTGTACTGGTTTAGCATTCTGAATTGGGTAAACCCAACCCAAGTCACAAATTTAATTTTTTAACCTCCATTTTGTGCTCTAGTCTCCTAAATGAAATAAAGATTCACTGTCAGAATGAAAATCCCCTATATGATCAAGTAATCTTTGCTCAAAGAAAAGTGTAGAATTGAAACCATCTTAAGAAAAGTGTAAGTAATCCATCATATTGTGTTTGCACACGAATTAGGCAAACTCTTCGACAAAAAGGGTTTATCAGTAAGAAAATGCGAAGAAGAAGCAACAAGAAGGAGAAATATAGGATAAAGCCATCTCCATTTCAAACGCTAGACTGTATTCCATTTGATTTATCATCACTCTTGTGCTTAAAAAGAGCCCATCTCTTTACTCCCGCCTCAATGGAGCACCGCTTGATGCAACATCACGGCCGGATTCCACCATTTCTTCCCTTTTCAGCTTACATATTCTACTCCATACTCATCTCTTTCCTGCCAATAAAAAAAAAAGGAAATTCTTATTATATGCAAGAAGATGCAAGGGTCGAACAAATCTACATCTAAACTAGTAACATTCTGAGAAGATGACCCATATATATAGTGGAGAGAACGGTGATTATTTTCACCCAAAACTCTTTGTTCCAAATTTCAATTATAACCCATTTCCTCGTTAGCCCAAATCAGCAGGCTAGATTTTGTAACAATACTTAGCAACCGAGACTGTGCCAAACAAATTGCTATTATCATGTAGTGTATCAGAATCTGAACTATTATTCTTTGAATTAAGAGAGAGAGAGGGGGAAAGAGATTGATTCCCAACTCTTTCACACACAAAGCTGCTGATACGAAATATCTGCAGAATAAGAATGTACTAGTAACACTCCCCCCTCAAGGAATAAGAGAACTCACAAAAGAAATGGCTGATGAATCTGCCAAAGCCGAATCTTATTCCTTCCGCCTCATGCACTACTCATCTTTGTACCCTGCATTGTCTCTGCGCACCTGAACCCTGAAAGTTTTATCAAACTATTTACCATTTCATGTTTTCGTAACTCATGGTTCTAATGGAAGTGTCAAAAAAATATCAGAATCTTTTTAAATAACCTCGTTAGTAGCAAACTCCATGGGTGCCGCAACCTCCAAGAGGGTAAACCCAAAGAACACAGCTCCCCAGATTGGCCGACATACCTGAAAGTAATTTGGAGTGGGGAAGAGCTAATCATTTGCTGTTGGGGCCTACAAGTTTCTCAGGTTGTCTCAATCCTTGGACTTGTTTCCGCCTGCCCAACACACTTCCTGGGCTTCTTCATTGAAGGGAGGGCAAGAGGACCCAGTCTCAAGCGAGCAACACCTTCGTCTTCCTTTGATTCTGCATCTCTGCTCTTCACTGGTGTCCTCTTTTTGCGTGATCTACTAGGACCATCTTGTGTCGTGGTTCTTTTATTTTCTGGCTCTGTCTTCTCTATGTTCTTAACCTTACTACTTGAGGGGCGGCTACTGGGATCCAGACTCAACCAAGGACTGTTCGGAGAATCCCTGCCTAGTTCTGGGCCAGAATCGGCATCTGTTGAAACTATTTCTACTGTAGAGCTTCTGTTATCCTGCAGATGGAAAAATAAATGAATCACCAAGACCATCCACAAGCGCTACATAACTACACAACAAAACGTACATCTCTATATCTACTGGAAATTAGGATCCACATATGCTTTAATCCTATTATTCACAATGTCCTAATTTATGAGAATAGTAATTAACAAAAAATAAAAAAAGAATGCTGCTCCCTGGGGCACACTGTACATAACTGATAAAATAACTACAGCTTACCTTATCTTGCATTTCAATAACTTCTTCGCATTCTGAGCCCTCTTCTCCTTCAGAATCAGCCATCTCTTCACACTCAAACTCAACATTTTCTTCTTCCATCATCTCTTCGTCAGAATCACTTAATTCCTCTTGTTCCATCACTATACCTTGATTAGATTGATCAGCCATCTCGTCAATGCATCTATCGCTTGTTGCGGTTGATCCAGGCACTCCAGAGCCATCCCTACGTTGAATCATGCAGATGTCTGGAACTTCTGAAATATTTTCTTCTGAGACACTACCACAATCTTTTACCTTGGAAGAGCTTGGGCTTAGATTGATATCTAAGTTCACATTTTTAACATGCTTGCTAGATCTGACATCATTACGACCAGCACCAGGGATATAAGTCTTCTCAACAGCACTAGAAGTATCCTGAAGTTGACATAATTTGCCCTTCTTGCCAATGTCTGTGTCTAAGTTCCCACGTCTACTAATAAGATGGCTAGTTTCACACTCAGTTCTTTGAAGAAGAGGATGAAAACAGCTCAGTCCTGCCTCGTGTTCATTAGATGATGGTTTTTTCTGGAACTGATCAGCAGAGTGATTGATTTGCCTTGGACTGTTGAAAAGACTCAGCAGCTGAGGTCGATTGTCAGAAAAGAAACTAAAGGAACTAGAACCTCCTGGGTCTCTGATTGAAGGGTAACATGTAATCTGTCCATTCTCAGGGGTCCGGAACAATAACGGATGCATTTGAAGATCCGGGTCGTTGTCTGTCTCGCCCATCCCAGAGGAGCTCTCTGCAGGCAAATCTTTCTCGCAAGGGGGCCCGTTGTTATCTCCGTCAGCTGAAAAGCAAGGAGGTTCAGTACCCGAAACTCCCCTCCCAGAAACACCAGACATGCCGCCCTTAACGATACAAGTTTTGGAGGACGATTCAGGCTGATCCTTCGCAAAAACTGACTGCGAGATAACACGGACCGAAGATGGAAGGTTAAGTGGAGGTAAATCAGGGGCTAGTCTCACTACACTTAGGTTGCGTTGTTTACGAGCACGACGATATGACCGCATAATAAACGGTGCTTTTGAGGCATCGGTTGCTGTACCAGATGTGTGGTTGTACAGAGGTATCAAAGAAGGTGCAAGCCTCCCCGTACATGTCAGAGCTCGGGCACCAGATAGTTCAGGATTTTTGGATCCTTCACCAGTACATGTAAGATCACGGGGAACATCCTTTGGCTTGCCAGAGGATTGCATATATGAAGAATAAAAGAGATTTGGCATGCCAGGCCTCCAGTCTGCTAAAAATCCTTCATGAAGGTATGCGTCACCTGAATTCTCCACCAATTCATGCCCAACGTGATTTTCATTGGCCTTAGAAGCACCATGACGGTCCTGCAACATGCCATGAAAGGTGAGTCTAGGTAAAATACATAGTTTTAGTGGGTTGTATGATTTGAGGGGGAGGCACAGATATGAAAGACAGACCTCTTTTGCAGATGCAGGCTGCTCTTTGGACTTTCTTTTGTTTGTATCATATAATCGCCGCTTCTCTTTTTTGGCAGCATCTAACTTATACGACTTCTGAATTCCAAGGGCAGTGCGCAATTGCCTTGGCAGGGAGGATGGGTCTCTATAAGGCACAACGAATTTCCACACCAACATCCAATCATATTTGAAGTACTTAAGTCCCTGAGCATTTTTAATTTATACTGAGCACCGGAGTATGATTTCCAATCAGAATTGCAAAAGGGTGCGCTTGTCGAATTACCTCTTGTATACGTTCTATCTCTTGTGGGGTCAGGGGAGAGCATTTCATCCTCAAAATTGCCTGCATGTGGCAATATAGATTCATACACATCAGTAAGGAGATAAAACCTTGGAATCGTGGGGAGAACTCTAACTTGAAAAGCAATCAGATTAAGGTCATATTTATCCATTAATCATCCAATTTTTGCCACGGTATCTTTTATGACAATGAGTTCGCATACTGATTTCTCTTACGTGCATGATATATATGTAATGGTTCCACAGTGCTTCTTTGTCGACAAACAAGTTCAGGCCACTGACAGATAAGCATACAAAAAAAGAGATGATAAACCATATCAAGCATATAACAGACCTTGATTGGATTTTCTGGGGCTTTAGATGATCTCCGGTTTTTTTGCCTAATATAAATCTGAAACAAATAAAAGTAGAATGTATTAGAAGAGACAAGTCTTTCATTTCTTGATGAAAACCCTATCAAACCACACGGGGACATCTAGATCATGAGCTACAAAAAAAAAATTCCTATTTCTGCAGAAATTCGGTGATGATTACCTGATTTTCGGCTTTACATGGAAGAAAGCGCTGCTTTATTGCCTTCCAGTCTGAGTTATATTCCATTATTCCAAGAGCCAGTAGTCTGCATACAAGCAGCACAAAAAATCAAATTTCTACTACATTATTAGATCAAGAATAGAAAAGAAAAGGAAAAGGAACTTACTCATCCTCAGCGTCAGTGAAAAGGAACCGATTGCTAACAGCTGCAGCAGGTGGCTTGTGCGGAAATAGCGATACTTTGAACAACGGCAGAAACCGTTTAGCTAGATTGGCGATATCCTTATGGACCAAGGCAACAGATTGCTTCTTCGCTGATTCAACGAGTGTAGCAGCTAGCGTTTTCTTAGACTGCTGCTGATCTGATGGTGACTTACTTATGCTAGGCGTTGAAGGAGGATTGTTTACGATCTCGCCGCCAGCTTCTTGGCGAGGGAGTGGAAACAGTGGCACTCTTTGAGACGAAGCATCAAAACCGGATTCCACTTGACACCGTCGATAATCTTGAACGGCTACAATGGTACAATAATCAAGACAACTATATTATAGCAAAATAAAACAAAGATAAGAAAACATGGAGATATGGCACACTATCATCTTTCAACCCAATAACATACCTTTAGAAACATCAAGTAGATAACTCCCAGCTAGATCCACAGTATTCCGAAGCGGTGATGCCGAACCAGCGACAAGAAGATGACTTTGGCGTGAAACAAATCCTTGGTGTTGTTGGAGCATCTCAGATAAAAGTCCATGGACTTGGGTTCCAATGTGCTGCCGTGAATGATCAAGTGCACAGAGAGAGTAGACCTGGATAAGAAGTTGAAGGTGGTCATGAATCAAACAATGCAACTCTCCCATTTGGGCTTGACTGAAGCCAATTGTTGGGATGTTTTGTGATGAAGCAACTGCTTGAGCAGCAGGAAACCTCCTAGCAGGAAGTGTAATGGGCAAGATAGGCACAAGAGGGCGCAACAATCTGCTAGGCTGCCCAGCAGAATCGGTGTTGTGCTGAAAGGAGGTGTTTTGCCGTCTCTTCTGCCTAGTCACGGGTCGTCTCTTAGGGGTTTTCTCTTCATCTGATCTTATGACCTCCTTTGCAGGTATGCTTTCCTCGTCATCAGTCTCCAGAGCTTCTTCAAGCTCAATCTCGAAGTCTAGATCGTTATCCTCATCATCATCGTCGTCGTTATTTCCATCAGGATGCACCAATTGAGATTCAGCATCACCGCTGTGTAAAACGGCGGCGAGAAACTTGCGGTATTCCTCCTCATCGTCGACATTAGGAATGTCATCCTCATCATCAGTCTCCTGAAGAAAGGCCTCAAGATCATCAAGGGTAAAATTCTCGAGCGAATACCGAGCTCTGGTGCGCTTGCAGATTGCATCATCCTGCTCATCCGGCGACATCAAAACCTGCTTCTGAGTTTGGATCATGTCTCCGTTTTCATTTGCCTCCAATGTCTTCTCTGTAACAAAGTCACCTTCTTTCTGAGCAACAGGTTCATGATTCGAGTCCTCCTCTGGGATTGGTTCCTGGCACGAGACGCTAGTTTGCATCGCGATTTCCTCCTCTCTTCCTTTCTCAACATCGTCCAAGTTTTTCTCAACGGCAATGCTATTGACAATTTCACCATCAGGAGCTTCAACTTCAGAGCTCAAACTGGAAGAAGCTTCACGAGAAGGAGTCTCCTTGAGAAGAGGATTGAAATCAACATCTTCTTCTTCTTCCTCCTCCTCGTCATAGTCGCAATCCTCTTCTGAAATTAGGGTTTCTTCAACTCGATCCGACGAATCCATGATGACTAGGGTCGGTTCCGCCATCTAAACACGACGACAATACATCATCTCTGGATTCCACAATAGATAGATAGAAACAGGGCTTGATCAATCGCTTTACGTAATTCCGTATCGGCTTTGAGATTGCCAGAAACCTTGGAAAGCAATTGGGTTTGAACAAGACTAATTTAATGGAGAGAGATTAAGGTGGAAGCAATTGGGTTCCTAAGCCTTTCTTTTCAAAAATTTGCTCTTCCAATAAACTACATATATTTTGTTACTTTTCAATCCAATAAACAACATAAATTTCTCCTTTTTTTATTATATCCCATATTTCTGTAAAGTAATTAATTAAGCTACAGTTACATTGCATAAAAAACTTCATTTAAATTGCTTTATGTTAAAAATACGATTTTTTACGTCTTGAAAACTTATTAAAAATATAAAAATCACATTTAAAAAAAAATAGTTTGGAAATATGATGAAACATTCATTTTCATTTTAATTTTGAAAATATGATAAAACTCTGATTTCTATTTAAATTGTATTTTGCGTTTCGAAACTTACTAAAATTACGATCTTTTGCGTTTTGGAAACTTATTAAAAGTACAAAAAAACATATTTTTAGAAAATTCTAGTTTGGAAATATTTTAAAAACATAATGGAAATATTCATTTCCATTTTGAAAACATGATACCGATTTCCATTTAGTAAGCGTTTTGCGTTTCAAAAACTGATTAAAAATACGATATTTTGCGTCTCAAAAACTTATCATAAATACAAAAACTCATATTTTTAAAAAATTCTAGTTTGAAAATATTTTAAGAAACATGATGGAAACACTCATTTTCATTTTGGAAACATGATAAAAACACTAATTTCTATTTTAAAAACACGATAGAAAACTGAAATGATCAATTTAACTCTTTATATATAAGTTAATAATTAATTTAATTTTAACTTTTTCCTAAGCCTTTCTTTTCAAAAATTTGTTCTTCTAAGAAAAACACATATTTCTCTTTTTTGTTTAATTTACAGCTAAGTTGCATAAAAACTTCATTTAAATTAGGTTTTAAGTTTCGAAAACTTATTAAAAATATGATCTTTTGCGCCTCAAAAGCTTATTAAAAGTATCAACAATCAATTTTTTTTAAAAAAATTTAGTTTGAAAATATTTTTAAGAAACATGATAGAAACATTCATTTTTATTTTGAAAACATGATAAAAACTTTGATTTTTATTTAAATTGTGTTTCAAAAACTTATTAAAAATATGATATTTTGCGTTTCACAAACTTATTAAAAATATGAACTTTTGCATCTCAAAATCTTATTAAAAATACCAAAAATCACATTTTTAGAAAATTCTAGTTTAAAAATACTTTAAGAAACATGATGGAAACATTCATTTTTATTTTGAAACATGATAAAAAAACATTGTTTTCCATTCAAAATTGAGTTTCAAAAACTTATATATACTATAAAAGATGGTCAACTCTCTCCATATGAATGCTACCTCATCATTTTGGTTTATTGTAGAAATGACATGTGTCATTTTTTAAAATTTAATGATACAAATTATGTAAAATACAGTTAATGTATAAATTTAATATATTAAATATGAAGAATTAGATAATATATTTTAATAACAATATATACATAATATTCAAAAACAATTATTGAATATCTATTTTGTGGTAGTTTTTAAAAATCATTAACAAATTTTATATTTTATATTTAAGAGTGTTTTCTTATTTTTAATTAATATTATAAGATATTATTATAAAAAATTATACAAATATAAAATTACAATTATTTGATATTTTGAACCTTAAAAGTTAGAAGAAAAATTTATACAATATTATAATAAACTTTAAAATAATTTTTTTATAATCTAATAATTATTTGATAATTTATTTTATTCAAACTTGATCCATTAATAATTTTAAAATTAATAAGATATCAAAGTTCTAATATATATATTTATAAAATATTTAATGCAGCTGTATAAATTAGAATTATAGTTCAATTATTTAAGCTCATAAAAATATAAAACCACGGCATTGCTATTGTGTAAATGTACGACGTGTTAAAAAAAGTCGTCTCTATCTATGTTATGTTTGAAGAGTTTCTCTAATTAATTTTTGTTATATAGTACTTTTCTGATTTGCACTATATCCATTTAATATATTCTATATATACAAGGTATAATATATTTCACATTTTCTTATCAATAAATCACTGATCACATATATAGTTAAATCCACATAATATGTAAATATGTATTGTATGTAAATTTAAATACACAATATCTTTAAAAAAAATTTTAAATATACGATAAAATAAATTATAACTACACTTTTTAATCAATTATTTGTGAAAAAATATTTGCGCATACTCATTTAGATAAATATATAATTTTTTGCGTCTCGAAAACTTGTTAAAAATACAGAAAATCATATTTTTAGAAAATTCTAATTTGAAAATATTTTTAAAAACATGATGGAAACACTCATTTTTCCATTTTGAAAACATGACTAAAACACCGATCAATTTAATTCTTTATATAAGTTAATAATTAATTTCATTTTAACTCTTTCCTAAGCCTTTCAAGAAGCTACAAAGTCTGCTTCATGTCATGCATTATGTCTACGCAAACTATACCAATCCATCAGAATGAATGGATGATTAAGTGCAATCTAGGACACATGTGTAAGTCTCAACTTTGATAGTGTCGATAAAGTGACTGTTGTGTGTATCGTCGTATTGATGGCAACAAAACACAAAATGTAAAAGCCAAAGTCAGAGTAAGCTTTTGACATAAATGGAAAAACTCAAGATGAAGACTGGAGGAGTTTCTTGTAGTCATGGAAGGTTCCATGGAACGGTGCAATCCTTCCGTCTGACACAACCCACAGCTCATCCACACTTCCCGAGATTAGATGCTCGTCGTGACTCACCTGCACAAACCACATTCATTGGTACACATACATACATTATTCAAACCCATTTGTTTGTTTGTTGAGTGAGTTGTTACCATGCAAATACCGCCTTGGAACAACACAAGTCCTTGAATCAAAGCTTCCACAGCGTCCAGATCCTGACAGTTTTTATTTCTTGTTTAGCATAAACTGATGATATTATTAACAAGAATACGCAAATTTATTAATTCTTCTTGGCTTACAAGATGATTGGATGGCTCATCAAGCAATAGCAAGTGCGGTTTCTTGAATGTTATCTTCGCAAATGCCACTCTGCTTTTCTGACCACCTAAAATTTGCCATTCAAACCCAAAACCAAGAAGAAACTCAATTAGTGAAAAATAACCAATCACTATCGACACAATTTGTAGATCCATGGATCTCTCCAGTTCCATTCCAGGTTTTGCATTGTGGTAGTATAATAGATAGAAGAAAATGAAAGGCATACCTGATAAAGTGTACATGGGCTGCAGTGCAAGATTCCCAGTGACACCAAGAGAACCCAGGTGACTTCTGAGCTTTTGCTCTGGTACTCCCTACCACATTACATCACATACCAGTTACGTCACATACCAAGGGTGTATATTTTGCTTCAACTCAAGTGGTGCTCGTAAGAAGTAGACAAATTAAAAATTCTATAAACACTAATATATATGAATCTTTTTTAAAAAACTCAATTATGATCTCGTGTTAACTGAAACAAACAATAATAAGTATATAACGTGTGTAGGAACTTACTGGGTAGCAGCGCATCATATACAGAAGAGGATTCGAAGAAAGGTCTAGTCCATCTACATGATGCTGGCTAAAGACTGCTACTCTAACCTGTAAAAAGATTATCAATACATCATATGAAAGCCACCAACAAGCGTAGCATTAGCAGAGCAGGGAAACGATATGTTGTTGTCAAAGAAATTTTCAACCAATCAAAATGTTTCCTAATCCAACTGCTCAAACCTAGAAGGGGTCTCCATACTAAAACGTCATTCCATATGTTCCAGAGGGACTGTGTCAGATTTGTTTTGTTATACCTTAGCAGAACGGAAAACTGTTCCAGAGCTTGGTTGCAGATCCCCAGAAATAAGTTTGAGTATAGTTGATTTACCAATACCATTGGGTCCCACCACTGCAAATCGAAGAGGAGGAAAGCATATATAGAGCTTAAAATGTTGGGAAGAGACTCAAAAATTAAAACCTCTACATGTTCGTACATATTGATGATATTCACATATGATTGATGGAAGTTTAATAACTCTTAAGGTTTATAAACATATAACATCTAGGGAGAGGGGAGCCTTCTTACTTGCAATACGGCTATCCAGATCTATTCCGAAATTCAGGTTCCTAAACAGCAACGGACCGCCTGGGTAGCCAAATGATGCATCACTGTAGAAAATAATAAACGAGTAAAAAATCATATCTTGTTGATCTCTGTATCCTCCCCATACCAAAATCAGACAAGTTAGTGTCGGATCCACAGAGGTCGTTTCCGGAAGATTACAAACCTGAAACTGATAATGGGAGGTCCAGGCTTGTCGTCAGGAGTTGGGAATTCAAATTTATAGCTGCAGAAGAAAGACAAGAGGTTAATCTATAGATGGTTAAAGTTGAGAGCCAGCATCGAATGCTACCGTAGCAAATTTTGCCCAGTATCAGAGTATAGCATCATTCCTACTTTCAACTATAAGTGCTTTAATATATAGATAAGAGGGGTTCGCTTACTCAGGATCATTAATAACTTGATCCACATGGGCCAGCCGGTCCAATGCCTGGAACATACACATGGTAATATTAGACTAACACTGATGGCCAAAATTTAATCACATAAATAGATGTAACTGTTGAAACCTTGATTCTTGACTGAACAAGAGACGCCCTCTTTGCATTGTATCGAAATTTATCAATGAACGCCTGCAGCAGAAAACAATATATGAAACTGAAATCCCCAAGATGGAATACTGCTAAACAAACCAGAGACGAGTTGAAAACAGAATTCATGATACCATTGTGCAGAGAAAAAAAAGAAACCTGCATATGTGACCGCGATCGTTCACTTGATTCAAAGGCTTTTGTTTGATTCTTGACTTGTTCTTCCCGTGTTCTTTCGAAAACATCATAATTTCCCTTATAGGTACTTAGTTTTTGGTTTTGCAAATGGATGATGTCCGTGACAACCTGAAGCCAAAAACAAGCGTTACACGTGTCCAGAGATATTGGGGGAATAATGGCTGCATGAGGATCAAGGGAGAAAGAAAAAAGGTACCGTGTTCAAGAATTCCCTAGCATGCGAAACAACTATAAATGTTTTTGGCCACTTCGTTAGATATGTTTCCAACCATAAGACAGCGTGGAGATCAAGATGGTTCTACCAAAACAGAGGAAAAGAATGTCAGAAAATTGAAAATATAAAGGAATTAGATTCTTCTAATAAGATAAGCTTATCAAGAAAACACACCGTAGGTTCATCAAGCAACAACAAATCAGGCTCTATAAATAGCGCACGAGCAAGTGCAATTCGCATCCTCCATCCTCCTGAAAAAGTATTTGTAGATTTCTTCTGCATTTCTGGAGTGAAACTGAGCCCCTGAAAATATCACAGAGAGGAACGTTTGTAAGTTAGCAGTACTCAAAAGTTGAAAGCAATAAAAGCACATGCAAAGAGTTTAACAGGAGATAGCACCCAAATCTAGCCTTTATATGTTTTTGTAATGATGGGTCACGACTAGTGTCTTGTGTTTATATCTATGCTATCATAAAAAACAAATAGCCTAGGAAGGCAGCAGAAACCTTGTAATGGTAGAGAGCAACTTACAGCAAGGATACTAGCTGCCCGAGCCTCAGCAGTATAAGCATCAATTGCATCAAGCCTTTTGTATATTTCTTCAAGCCTTTGAGATATAAGATCTGCTTCAACTGTATCTTTGGTAGGCAATCCATCCTTAGCTGCGGGTTCTTCCAACTCCAGTTCTCTCTACAGATAACCAAACAATGGTCAACATTTTCCCCAAATATAGACGAGCTAATGCTAATACCAGTAAGCAACAACTCCCTTATTAGTAAAACTAGCTTGTAGGCTAACCTGCTTAGCCAGTATTTGAGTTTCTTCTTCCAAAAGACTGGCTCTTTCGATATCAGTGTTAAGAACACATTGTAAGGCTGTCGTGTTGTCACCAACCACTTCTTGTTCGACATGCAATATCTGGCAATTAGCAGGAATACCCTCTATAGCGTGCATAGCCATATACCTCAAAAACGTTGTTTTTCCGGTACCATTACGTCCCACAAGGCCTGTAAAGTAACCCATTTGTAAGCTAGGTTTCTCTTTTCACAAAGAAAAAAAAAAAAGAAGAATACGAAGGTGAAAACGAAGATGAAACCCACCATAATGGCGTCCAAAAGAGAGGGTGATTGAACCGTCGACAATGAGATCACGGCCACCAACAGAGACATTGAAGTTATCCATGTGAATATCTCTGACAGCGGAGCCACCACCAGTGTCATGATTCACACTAACAGTAGGCATCCCTGCCTTAACCGCTTCCATTTCAGCAACATGCTGTTGGTATTGCACCTGCGTATAAACAAGAAACCAGTAGCCAGTAAATCAATCAGCAAAAGGAACACAGCTAAAAAATAAAACAAAAGAAACAAAAAATGATATACACCTCTCTTTGGCGATCATCCTTCTTCTTTCTCCTTTCGATCTTAGCTTTATCACGCTCTGACAACAAAGGACCATCAATAGGCTCAGGCTTCTTCTTCTTAACAGGTCCGTCGTCCATTCCATCGTTCATCCGTACAGGCATTGCGAGACTCCTCACAGTTGGTGCAGCCTTCACTAATCCATGCTTTCCAAACTTATCCGAGAGCTTGCTACAAATCTACACAACCAATCCAAATTTATATAGAAACCATTTCAGACCTAATATCAGTAATTCCGAAACCATTTCAGCAAAGATTTACGGAAAATAACGAATCTAGAAGACAAATAACAGCAAAAAATTGAAGTAATAGTGGGACGGCCTCCTCCGCTGTTTGCTTACCAAACGGCACTCATCGAAATCGGAGACGCATTCAGCAGCGACGAGGAGCTCACCGACGGCATCAAAGGCACCCTCGCCTTCCTCGCCGAAGTCGAAATCCTCGTCGGCGAGGACGTTGATGATGTAGTCCATGATGGGCTCGTCCACATCCTGCGCTCTGCGTCCCAGCACTTCGTAGACCACTGAGCTCGCAACTTCTGTCATAGCCGGAGACAATTTCTCTTCCGGATCCCCGAAAGAAACTGAGGCGAGATTAATTTCCAGAAAACTTCGATTTGATAACTCTCGGGGAGAGAAAACCCACAGCCAAATGAAAGAAGAGATGAAAGAAGGAAAGGGCAAACGATTATCGGGCTTAATGGGCTCATTTTGGAACCGTTGGGCCTTACTAAAAACCTTATCGCTTACGAGACTCTTGGTTCTTTCTTAAAACAAGTCTTATATGGCCAACGACCCACATTAAACTTGTTTGTGAGTCTTGACGATCAGAGTGGGAGATTAAAAACTGGATGTTGCATTTGGATAATGTTTGGCCGCCTTGTAACTCACCAATAACATATCATCAAACACATCGTCCGGACCATAGACATTCACTGATCAAATTCATAAAAGACAGTTTTTTCTTGAATAACACCTGTAATCTTAATTTATGCAGTGTTATTAGTTCCATTGCTCGCAGGATTTAGAAGTGAATCTACTAATCTAAAGTCAGACAAGAATTAAAACCATATCAGGCTGGAAAAAAAAGATTATTTCCCTATTTAAAAATCTTTAGAACATTTCATGATAAAAATACAATAAAAAAAAAAAAAGACAGCTTCTCCTTTCAAATGAAAAGCTCAAAACTTTTAAGTCTAAGTCTCTAAAATCTTTTTTGGCGACACAAATTAACAATAATTGAATTTGGTCTAGAGCTCATCATGATTCTCATCATCATCGTCTGCCGCAGCTGATTCACCGCCCGGTGCACCACCAGACTTCTGATAAACGGCAGTGATGATTGGATTGCAGACAGCCTCGACCTCCTTGAGCTTCTCATCGTACTCTGTCTTCTCTGCATTCTGGTTTTCGTCAAGCCACTCGAGGGCCTCTTTGGTCGCGGCTTCGATCTTCTCCTTGTCATCAGCCTCCAGTTTGTCTGCAAGCTTGTCCTTGTCGTTGATTTGGTTCTTCATGTTGTAGACGTACGTCTCGAGGCTGTTCCTGGCATCGATCCTCTCTTTCACCTTCTTGTCTTCCTCTGCAAACTCTTCCGCCTCCTTGACCATCTTCTCAATCTCTTCTTGGCTCAAACGTCCCTTCTCGTTCGTGATCGTGATCTTCTCTGTTTTACCACTCGCCTTGTCCTCTGCCTTCACGTTGAGAATACCGTTGGCGTCCACTTCGAATGTGACTTCGATTTGGGGGGTCCCTCTTGGAGCTGGTGGGATTCCGCTGAGGTCGAAGTTACCGAGCAGCCTACAGTCTTTGGTGAGACTTCGTTCACCTTCGAAGACCTGAATGGAGACCGTGGTCTGCTGGTCTTGGTATGTCGTAAACACCTGAGACTTCTTGGTCGGAATAACCGTGTTTCTAGGGATCAGCTTCGTCATCACTCCTCCGACAGTCTCGATACCCAAAGTGAGTGGCGCAACGTCAAGAAGAAGGATATCTGACATTTTCAAAAAAAAAGTAGACAACATTTTAGAGACACAACATTTCCACAGTAGAGAAGAAGAATCAGCTATACATCGGAGAGAGAGAGAGACGTACCTTTGGTTTCATCACCACCTTCTCCGCTCAATATACCTCCCTGAACGGCAGCACCGTAGGCCACGGCCTCATCGGGGTTCACACCCTTGTTCGGCTCTTTCCCTTCAAAGAAGTCCTTCAAGAGCTGTTGTACCTTTGGGATCCTAGTGCTTCCACCGACGAGTACAATCTCATCGATCTGGCTCTTCTGTAGACCAGCATCATCCATGGCCTTCTTCACGGGTCCCATTGTCTTCCTGAACAAATCGTTGTTCAGCTCCTCGAAACGGGCTCTGGTGAGTGGCTCAGAGAAATCAGTGCCATCAAAGAGGGACTCAATCTCAACACGGACTTGGTGCTGGCTGCTAAGAGCTCTCTTGGCTCTCTCACATTCCCTTCTGAGCTTACCCAGAGCCTTCTTGTCCTTGCTGATGTCCTTTTGGTGCTTCTTCTTGATCAGCTTGATGAAGTAATCCATGATCCTGTGGTCAAAGTCCTCACCTGCGCAAATCACATTCACAAGAAAGGGTTTTAACAAAACGACCACATATATGTGAATATCTAGAAAACGCAATGTTGTTACTAAAATGGTGATTAGATTCAGACAATGTATTCAAGGTCAAGGTTGCGTTACCTCCCAAGTGGGTGTCACCATTTGTAGAGAGAACCTCAAAGACTCCGTTGTCGATGGTCAAGACACTGACATCAAACGTACCACCACCAAGGTCAAAGACAAGGATGTTCTTCTCACCGCCCTTCTTGTCAAGACCGTAGGCAATAGCAGCAGCAGTGGGTTCGTTGATAATTCTAGCAACATTGAGGCCAGCGATAACACCAGCATCCTTTGTGGCTTGCCTCTGGGCATCGTTGAAGTAAGCTGCAACGAGCAAAACAACAAGAGGTTGAATCAACTAACTATACATGAAGAAAAGGTAACTACACAGTATTAATCGAAGTAAACTCAAGCTCACCTGGAACGGTGACAACAGCGTCCTTGATTTTCTTTCCAAGGTAGGCTTCAGCAGTCTCCTTCATCTTAATCAGAATCATGGCACTGACCTCCTCAGGAGAGAAAACCTTGGTCTCACCATCCTTGATCTTGACTTGGATGTATGGCTTGCCGTCCTTGTTCACAATCTTGTAAGGTACAAGTTTCATGTCCTTTTGAACCTCCTTGTCCTCGAACCTGCAAACAGAAAAAAGATAGAAAGTTTAATACAACATTCCGAGCAAGGAAAGAGAAAAACAGAGAGAAAAACGGTAATTACTTTCTCCCGATCAATCTCTTGACGTCGAAGACAGTCCTCTCAGGATTAACAGCCGCCTGGTTCTTAGCAGCCTCACCGATGAGCCTCTCGGAGTCGGTGAAACCAACCCAGGAAGGTGTAATACGGTTTCCTTGGTCGTTGGCAATGATTTCAACATGGCCATTCTTGTAAACACCAACACAAGAGTACGTTGTACCAAGATCTATCCCTATCACTGATCCCAGCTTCGTCGCCTCTTCTTTCGCCATTGCAATCGCAAACAGACATCCTGAAGCACAAAAGTCCCAATCGTCAACAAAATACAGACTGAATAAACCAAAACACTATCCTAATTCTTTCTCCAGCCAATGCTAAAGCAGCGATCAATGTAGATAGATCGAATGATACATTAAACAACATCAAATCCCAATGCACTGTAAATTACAAGATCTAATCTGAAAAATCAATCAAGTGCTAAAAACATCGTTCAAATTCACGAAACATCGCATCAGATTTCGATCAGATTCAGAACCATCATACATCGAACCAGAAAACATACGTTCATGAAATCAGTAACATCAGAAACCGAAATGTAGATTTTACTCATGAGAAATAGAGATCCAGGGATTGATGATCTAGAAATTCATGAACCACTGACCTAAGAGGACGATCGCAAGCACAAACGTATCGCGCGCCATGTCGAGAAACTTCTGCTGAAGTAGAAAGTGTCGTTTCTTCACAATGTTGATGGTTCCAAGTAAGTCGCGCTTGGTGTGGCTTATAAAGGTTGAGAGTGCCCGAAGGCGACGGTGAAGAAACTCGCTTATTATGGAATGCCAATGAACAGAGCCCGTGTCATCTTAGATTACGTGGACCAACCATATCGTGACAAATATACAGTGAATTATATGATACGCGAGGAAACAGAGTCCATGTCATCTTACGCGACATCAACCAATCACATCGCGACATGTACAACACTCAGCCAATTAGATCTCTGATCTTGTGTTGGATTAATCTTCACCGTCCGTCCGTTTGAAGTATAATGGGCTTCTTTCCTTTACCGGCTCTTATTTCTTAAACCCAATAGCATGACTTTTAAATATTAATGACCCAATTGTAGATATATATATTTACAACCCATTGTTGCCCAATATATTCATCAGATCGAATAATTTTTAGAATCAAATCAGAGGTAGTACAGTACTTACTTTATAAAATCGTATCGTAGCATATGTGAATGAGTGCTTGTGGGTACAGAAAAAAAAGGAATATTTAGGCTTTATGGGTTTGGTAAAGGTTTTGAAAGAGATATGAATCACTCAAGTTATATATTAGGATTTATATTCAATTATATGGTGCTCTTCTTCATTATTACGATATATGACTGCCACTAACCTAACAAGCATATATTTTTATGGATATCAATATGACAATATGTAAACATGAATAAATACATATGTTATTGTTATGTATGCATTTGTATCTGTATTTATACTTTCATATGGGTTTTGTAAACTTAGGAGCAAAATAAATCAAATGGACATATGATGAAGAGAGGTGACAAAGAGGGTCCATAGTGCATGTTTGTTAGTGTGTTTCTCACTCATTTTTGTTACAAAAAAAAACAAATTAACCTTTATATAATAAGATTAATAATATTATTCCTATATATGTACAATTAAATTATCCCTAGCTTTTTTATTGTGTTTCCAAAATGATTAACAACTTTTCATTATTATGTCTCCGCCCCTTACTTCTATATAACTCATCACTCATTTGTATATATACACCCACAATTTGTGTCTTGAAAATCTCAAGTTCTTTTAGAAACAAAAAATAATAATCAATATGAGCTATAATACCAAAAGGTTAGTAATTTTCATTGTTCTGATTTTAGCCATCACCTATACTGGTGTTTCAGACGCTACCCTTCGTCATTTCGTAAATCTCAGATCGAATAAGGTAATTTGTCTTTCTTTTCCGTTTCAAAACATGCAATATTCTCAAGATTTGTATATTATATGAAATCACAAAACGTGTATTGCGGTTTACAAGTTGCTCTGGTTGGTTCGTTTTCTATTTGATCATGTGTAAACCCTAGTTTGAGAATAATATTATATGTGTATTAAGGAGGATAATGAAAGAAAGGAGAGAGAGCTTGCGGAGTTTCATCTTGACTATGCAAGAACCGGAGCCAATCAAGATCATGAACCAGGGAAAGGAAGACCTTAATCCAAGTTAATTATTCATAAATTAATGAGCTTCATTATCTCTACTAGCTACTTCCACAAATAATGAGCTTCATTATCTCTATGTATACATAATATGATGTAATAGGCCCAAGCTTTTGGACACGGCTAAAGTTGCATGTAAAGATCGTGTACGCATGCATATGGATCGGATCTAAGGTCTATTATAAGTATGAGATATTAATTTGAGTCATCAAGATTGAATAAGTGCCATGTTTAGGCCATCTCTAATGGTTTACTCTAATTTTAGAGTAAAAAGATAGAGTTCTTTAAAAATAGAAAGTAGGTTTGCTCCAATGGTTATTTCTAAAATAAAAACATTCTTGTTATATTCTTTTTTGTTTAGTTATTAATTTATTATAGATCCTTTGACTTTATAAATATTTAAATTTTATTCATTTATTTTATGCGTTTGATAAAAACTAAATAAAATTAAAACTTCATTAAAATTAAATATTTACCACAAAAATAATTTTTTTTTGTTACAATACATAAATAAATAAAATAACTATTCTAATTTTAAATATTACCATTAGTGTATTTTTTCCACAAATGAATAAACTTGAATCTTAAAAAAAGAGTTAAACAACTTATTTTGCGTCTAGTTCATTTAGACAATTTTTTAGTGATTTTTAAAGATCTCGCGAATTTTTAGAATATTAGTTTATTAAAGTTAATCATGTTTAATTTTTTATGTTGATTTTTTTAATTTATAATTTATCATATTATTTTCAATTTCATATGTTTTAATATTGCATTTAAGTATTTTAATTAATTATATACTTTGTTATTATTGATATAATTATGTTTCAGTGTTAAATAAATATATAAATTTTGTTTAAATACAAAATAAAAACATACTAAAATTTAAAGGGTTGTTTTGTAAATTAAAAAGTTATACTCTCAAAATATATTAATGGTACAATACCATTGAAGAAGATTTTACACTAAAAATAGAGTTTAGAGTTAGATATAGTTCAGTGGAGATGTTCTTAGTACTGTACGTTTGAGATAAAATTGTGTACTTAGATAGACTACATAGTTATATATATGATAAAAATTAGTATTAATTTACAACAAAGATAAAATAAAAAGTTTGGCTAACTTCTATAAAAAAAATAGAGGGGAATAAAGTTTATTTCATTTATTCCAATCAACATCTATTGATGTGGAGAAGTGTTCTTTTTATACAACTTTAAAAATTAACACTAAAACTCCTCTTCTAAGGAAAAAAAAAAAAAAGCCATTGTTCCAAGCAAAAAAACATAAACAAAACTCTCAGAGCCATACAAGAAAGTTATTGTACCAGTGAAGCATTGTCACAAGTACATCATAGTTTCCTCAGAGCTTTCGCATGAGCTCCCAAAGTTTGGAGTCACATCATGAACCGAGAGCCTCAGTGTGTTCGATTTCGCTGCCGTCGCAACAGATGACGTGTCCAGACACTCGCTGAGGTCAGCATCGCACGAGACCGAGACCCATTCCTTGTCGTCGTCTAGATACTTGAGCTCAAACGCCGTCGTTTCGAGTTTCAGCCTCTTAGCCACTTGCTGCTTCAGTTCTGTAATGCTTACCGACTCTGGTGAGATCTTGAACCTGATGATGTCTTTTCTATACGTTGCCTTTATACTCACGAGCTTGTTGTGGAGTGTTGTTGGAGAAGGTGTGTCTTGGGTGTTCCAAAAACAAGTTATGTTTTTAGAGGTACTGTCTGAATCGTCCAAGCCCGTTTGTTTGAATGCTTCTTGGCTTTGTGTTAGCATCCGAAAACGCGTCTCGCAGATAGGACTCACTGTGAAACACGAGACAGATGAGAACAATGGTGATATGGATCTTGAATCATGATGATGATGATGAAAGACTTTTACTTTACCTTTGCAAGAAGCACGAGACGTTGATGAACCTGCACTGTCTTCTGCATCTCGGTGTTCGAGCTTGATATCTTGGAGATGGTAACTTGTCGGGGATCTGGTGGCTGGTGGCTGTGGAAGGTTTTCGAGTGGAGAGACTTGGTGAGGCCAAGGGCGAGAGGAGAGGGACGTTAAATTGATTGATCCATCACCGCCTTGAACCGAGTCTATAACATGTTTAAGCCTCGTGAGAGATCGGTTCACCTTGTTGATTTTACGAGATGGCCACCGCGAGATCCCGTGTTGCCGGCAAATGCGTTTCATTGTGGTTGGGCAAACTGGAAAATGAACAAAAAAAGAAAGGACAAGCTTTTTGAGTTTTGTTATATCATCAACAAATTAGAATTAGTAAAGAAAGTTAAAAGAAGTTTACCACCGAGGCTCTTGGCTGCATCTTTTAGACTGCCCGCAAAATATTGCTGAAGCACTTCTAGACTGATGGTTTTCTCGGTTTTCCCGCGCTTTCTTTCCGATTTCTTTCCTGTTTTGGCCTCCGGGGAAGGATGAAGCGTTTGGAGCCTCTCGAACCCATCATCAGCAACTTCGTTGTTCTCCGCAAGGTCAAGAGGGTTTAGGCTCAGCTTCTGTTCAGGTGCATTGAGCTGAAGGTACTCCTTTGAGATGATTAGTGCTGAATGATGTATTTGGATTGGTTCAAGTTTTGAGTAAACCATTCCGTCCTCTGACGCTTCCACGACCTCAATAGACAACTCGTTTTCACAGAGTTCGGTTGCAGAGACAACCTTGAGACTCGAATAGTGCTGCTTCATCGTCTGAAACAGAGAACCCAACAGACAATCTTGCTCGCCCTTGTCTGTTACGGCCGGGGGAAGAAAGAACTCGAGAACGTACTCGTCGTCTCCGGTGTACGCGCTCTTCAAGCAAACCGCGAAACAGCTGGTCAGCTTGAACATGCGCGCATAGTGTACTAACGGGTAGTCGGTTTTGCAGAAGCGAGTAACATCTCTGGAGAAGCAGAGGTTTCCAGAGAGAAAAGCCCTTCCAGCAACGCCTTGTCCCTTCTGCAGATGGTGTTCAGCACAAGCGTCTCTGAAACCCCAAACATGAGCGTCCACAACGTAAACCGCTAAATCACTAGTAGACATACAGACTCTCCCCATACAGCTACCGTCGAAGCTCGAACAGCTTTTCTTAAAACCGCCTCCAAAGGCTAAAACGCTACGGTGCCTGCAAGGCACCCATGTCTGAGCTAAAGGCAGTTTGTAGGTCTCGCACACCACGGTCAGTATCTCCAAAATCTCAGCCAGTGCATTTTGACGACCCTCGTTGCAGATCTGGTAACCAAAAAAAGGAAACGGAGATCAAAACAAGAAGGAACAAGGCTAAATAAACTCAAGACGATTCTTGAAAGTTCCCGAAAGAATACTCGAGAGTTTTGACATTGGGCTCGCAGATAACCTGAGTAGACTCGTGGTTCAATATTTCCGAAGTTTTCAGATTCACGGCCTGTAAGCATAACACAAAAGAGATCAATCTCTTGTCACGGAAAACAACATGAAAGGAGAACCAAAAGAAGAGAGAAACACAAAGACGAACCTCGAGAGCTTTACAAACTTTTTCAACCTCAGGTGCATAGTTGATCTTAGGAGAAGTCATTATAAGCTCGACAACACCAACACAGAGCTGCATGGAGGGTTCGAAAACAGGCAAAGCCAAGGTTCCCTGAACGTTATAGTGGAGGGCGTGGCCAAGGCGGGAGAACTCTTTGCTGGAGTAATACTGAACGTTTGGGGTCCACTCAGGCAACTTCTTCCTGAAAACGCGGCCGGGAAGCCCGAGCTCTCCGTCGCGTTCACTGTCGACGGAAAACATGTACGTCAGGGAAACCATCCTGTACTGATTCAGGCCGTTACTATTGGGACCGAGAACAAACGGCTGTCCTGAAGTTGTAAGAACGTAACGTCCACGGCTTTTCACAGGCGCCCAAACCTGTGCAAGAACGTGCTGCTGCCCTGTTGATTCCTTGAAGTATCTAAGCGCTTGAGTCATCTTCGCTTTGATCGCACAGTAGCCGTCTGGATTTTCCGGCGGCATTATGCCCCACAAGGGAGAAGGAGCCATATGGTTATTCTCCTTGGTGGTGGCTTCAGTTTCCGAACCTACATTTCATCGATTCTATCAACTCTCAGATCGAAAATTCGAATAAGATCCAGCTACAGTGAAAGAAACAAATCCCATCTGTTTGATTCCTACGAGAATATTATCCAGAGGTGGAAGCATATCCACTACATTATCCGAATTGGATTCAAAGTTGAACAGAGAGAGAGAGAGAGCATCGAGACTTACTTGCAAGTAAAACGGAATAATCCGTGAAACGAGTGGGAGCTCCTGCGGCGGAGCAGAGCTCGCCGCCAGCATCTCCGGAGGCGGAGGCTGCTTCGGAGAAGGACCAGAGAGGAGAGAAAGGCTGTTCGGAGGACGAGAAAATGACCGGAGACCTGAAATTCGAAGAAAACGTGATCTGATCCAACGGCCAGGAACCGCCGAGATCCAAATCGTCAAGTTCCATAAACAGGCAGCAGCGACGTTAAGACGAGACGACGAATCTCGTCTGAGTAGTAGAACTACCAGCACGAATGTCTCCGCAAGTTGTCGCCGGAGGGAAAAGAGAAACTCTTCTTCAGCTTCAAGCTTTCTTCTTCAACCTCTCTTCTCTCTCTAACACAGAAAGAGGAACGCATAAGAAGAGGAGAAGGCAAGTTGTGAATATTAAAATACCAAACACATTTGATTCCACGCTGTACCATTTTACCCCAACCACTAGAATATCTCCCATTCATGCAATTTTTTTCTGAATATTTTGTGAGACAACAAAAAGATATCGCATTTGTATTTTTACTAAAATTTATATGGAACATTAGCCAAACCAATTATCTTTTTAGAAAAAACTAAGGATATTACATCACTCAAACCTTTTTAGTCATATTTAGTAAGTTTCTAAAATTATATTGATTGACCACCTCTAGAATTGGATTGACAAATATGGTGTGGATTATACGATTGTTTGAATAATAATCCAGTCATTTTAAACGCTAAGACATAGATTTTAAAAAATTGACCGAGACGATTTGTATCACATTTCAAAATTAGTTTTTTCATGTTATAATATATGTTTAGACGTTTCTTACATGTCCAGCACCAAGAAGAATGTCATAGCATCTTCTTAAAGAGCCTAAAAAGCTTTACAAAATATTAAATTAAGACGTAATTAGGCACTAAGTGCTTGTTGTGGGTGAGTAGAATAACAACGACTCCTATAATTAATTGGATAATAACATGATGTTCTTAGTATGATAAGCAATAATTGACATATAAAAAAAAACAAGCAAAGCAATGATAGCTAGAACTTAGATGGACTAACATTTAAATGGAATCTCACTTTGGAAAATTAATAGTAAAAAGTTAGAAACCACTCAGCCACTTTCAACTGCTTACCCAAAGTGGATCATTACACAAAGTCCTTTTGCAATACACGATTTGTCAACAAAATCTATTTGTTAAATACAAATAGTATTGTGCCATTGTAGTGGGAGAGGAGTTTACTAAATCTAATATTTTCCGTTTTCCATTAAATCTAAATTTTTTATTAACAAAAAAAGATATCGAATCGCGCGAGTCTTCCTTTCCTCTTCTAATTATATAATTACTTGTTGATCAATTGTTAAACCCAAAACAGAAGAAATGCTTGCAACGTTAATCCCCACTTGTAGTTTCAAGTTGTGTCCCAAGTTGATAAGTGTTTGGCAATGGACAATCCTTTGTCCTTGTCCTAAGTAACTTTGTCCTTCCTAGCCTTCAAGTTGGCTAAGCAAAGGCCACAGCTACTCTACTACCTTAAGAGAAACTACAAATCTCTCCTACTTTTATCCAAAACTAAACCACACCAGAGCCAAAAACAAACAAACTGAACTAAGATTTCACCGCAAACCAAACCAAACTGGTATCCGAATGCATAAGCCTAGTCTTGAACATCATATCCACATTAAAGGATAAAGAACCATAATGATAAAAGAGTGAACACTGAACAACAGAATATAAGGTAAGAGCGAATCTCATTTGCCAAATCCAATAAACTGAATCATTTCTTTGAGAAATTCAAATAAGTCATTACATGATAACAAAGTTTTATGAGCTGGAGATTTCCATGAACTAACATGTAAGAGACGAGCAATGAGAAAGCCTGAGATCTTACACGATACGCTCCAGCTCTCTGGCGTAGCTTAGGGTCTGGTTGATGAGCTGCAGAGACGGAATCTCTTTGCACGGTGCAGTTTCTTTGGCTCTCTGGAACACAACCAACCCGTCCTTCACTTCCCACTCGGGGTGCTCCTATAAGATTTGTTCAAACCCAATCGCGTCAAGGGTTCATGAAAAAGACAAATATAGAAGACAAATATATGTCTGTTCTTTTACCTCTTTGACATAGGTTAAGAGCTCCTGATCAGAAGAGAATAGCAACATCTGCTTGGCATCGCTGATTGATACATAATCATAAGCTTTCTCGCTGCATCCAGCTATTTCATCTCTGTTATTTCAGTGATAACAAGAAGAAAAAAAACGGTGAGATAACACACGACAAGGCATGAGGCCGAACTAATTCAGACACTCGTTGATGTTACCTTATGGTCTTTGCCAAAAGATCCATGAAATAGACGTAAGTTGCATCAGGAGCGGTCTGTCTAGCACTCAACACACGGTTATATGCACCTTCCATGAACGACTGCTCAAGCTCTACCGCGTGCTTGATGCAAGGATTCTCCAGTGTAGCTGACGAGAGTAATTCGAGCTCGGTGTGAAATTCAGCAATCCTGTTCTGCACAAGCAGCCTCAGAAGGTTCAGACCCAGGATTAGATTCTCCTGTGGCGATGCTGGAAGACGATTCCTAATGCAGAGAAAAAGAAATGAATGTTAGAACAAAGGGGACAATACCACTATCCAAATGAAAAAGGATAGTGTTGAGACAGTGCGTTATTTCTTCACCTGGCATCCACATAGTACGGTTTCAGCTGGAAGAAGTCTCTCTCAAAAGCATCTTGATCCTCAGTCTTCACGCTTAGAACAACAGCATGCTCATAAATGTCCCCTGCAGTTTCCAAAATCGTCGATTTCATAAAAACTGTTAATGAGCAATCCATAAGGTTTTGTGACCCTTGAGAGTTACAAACCAACCAGAATTGATTAAACAAGTCATGTGAATAGGAAATACTGTATGCAATTGATGGCACAGCAAAACTATATAATAGCAATAAGAAAACAAGAAACTTACTTGCAATAGTCAGCTCCTGAGCTGCATATGGTGTATTCTCGAACAATGGAGGAAGACTTCTGAATTTAGTCAGAAGAACCTGAAGAACATAACAAACATCAGAAACTTTCACCAGTCAATTTCAATCTACAACAAAAAAAACTCTCTGCTACAAGATCCTTAACGCATTGATAAGCTAAATTCTTTCATTACTAAATCGAAGCTCCCATAGATTTTGAACAAACCCTCGCGGCATAAGCCATCGAGTTTTTCCTCATCAAATTGAAATCGAAGCAAAGTAGGGTTGAAAGAATACATTACCTTAAGCTGAGACAACAGATCACTACAGCTATTGTAATCCTTCCTCACAAACGCCGCCTTGAATCTCTCGAACTGCTGCGAAACTTCTGTGAGCTGCGGATCCATAGCTTCAGCTTCTTTTTTTTTTTTTTTTTTCTCCGACGACGACGATTCTTTTCCCGAAACTGGCTTGATCGCAAAGAAAGAGATATAGAGATACAAAACGGGCCTTTAACGGGCCGAAGCGATCTAAAAGGCCCACGGTATACGTTAGCGTTCCCACTAACGTGTACACACTGTGAAAAGCACACACCATCATCATCATCATCTCTTATCCAATTACTCTCATTGCTTTGCTTTCTCGAAACTGCTTGCTGTGTTTACTTCCTTCTAAGCTCTCATCTCTCACATTAACAATGGCGGCATCTTCGCTATGCCTATCCAATTCCCCAGTTTGCCCTCACTCTCTGCCTAATATCTCATCGCAGCCACTCCTCTCTTTCTCACATTCCCTCAGGCCGTTCACTGCCAAGTCGAAACATATGGCCTCGCTACAGCAGCATAAGAGAGAGAACTCTGGATTTGTGGTGAAATCTCAGGCTCTTGATTTCTCGGGAACTTTCTTTGAAGGAGGATTCGGGTCGGACGATGACCCGAGTTCTCCCTCCGGGTCGGGCGTCTCAACTGCGCTTGAGGACAAACCGGAACCTCAGTGCCCACCTGGGCTCAGACAGTACGAAACAATGGCGGTCTTGAGACCGGACATGTCCGAAGATGAGCGGCTTGGTCTTACCCAGAAATACGAAGAGGTAATTTATGCTTGATATTATCGCAGGGAAAGTTGGGAATTATTAGAGAGAACGAGGTTTTGGGATTCAAAAACTGTTTGATCAGTAGAAACTAAACGTTTTCTTGAATGTTTGTGATGATTCTGAGTTAAGAAATTTAAGTAAAGGGTTTAGCTTTGAAGGAACTAGATATCTGCTGCTGAAGATAGGAGCCCCAAATGCAATTACTTTAACATTTTACTTAAATTCTTGAAATGTCGAGATGGTATGATGCAGGAAACGAGCCAATACACAGCTCTCTCTCTCATTCCTGTGATATATGTGGAATCTTTAGGCATCAGATGACGATTCTGAAATGTGTTGTTGCTTTGATTTACGAGATTTGATATATCATTGCTGGTTTGTTGTTGGTGGCAGTTGCTTGTGGCTGGAGGTGGGATGTATGTGGAAGTATTCAACAGAGGAGTGATTCCATTGGCTTACAGCATCAGGAAGAAGAACAAAGCCGGAGAGACTAACACTTACTTGGATGGAATCTACCTTCTCTTCACTTACTTCACCAAACCCGAATCAATTACTCCACTCGAGTCCGTTCTCACTGCCGACGACGACGTTATCCGATCTTCTTCCTTCAAGATCAAGAAGAGGAAGTACAACTGAAGACGCCCATCAACATTTGTGTGTATGTGTGACAAAAGTTAGATTCTTTTTTCTTTACTCTTGTATGTTTCTTTCGAACAAAAGTAAATCTATCTTTCATTGCTCTGTCAACAAGTCCTATGTATTTTTTTCTGTTGTGCATTGCTCTGTTTGTTTGAGTTACAGAGTGTCGGAAACTCTAAAGCAGAATTTGATATCACTCAGACTCGTAACATTGCCATAGATATCACTCACTAATGATAGTTGCTCGCTTGACCAATGTGGTGTTCGTGAGGAACTCAGAAACTGTACGGAGATCAAAGCCTTTTTCTGAAACCACATCCGAGAGTAATCTAATCAATCACACAATATGTTTCTACTATAAGATATAATCAAGCGTGTCACATACAAATATATTTAACTCGTGTCGTGTATTCATCTTCTTAAATACTATCCTTTAACCAACAAAACAAACCGGACAACGTATCAGTCCATTCTCATTACACTTGACACACCTCTCCCATCTTTCGCCCTTAGCCGCCACAACCGCCGACGCAACCCTACAGCTACCGCCGCACTCCAAACAAGGCAACCACCTTGCTCCTCCACACCCTTCACACGTGTGCCTCCCTTCCTCCCCTACTCTCTCCACACGTGCCCACCTCAACACTCTCCCTAACTTCCCGTTCTCGTTCATCGCCGTCACTTCCGCCGCTCCTCCCAAGTACCTCCCTTTCACAAACACTCTCGGCGGCGCCACCGTTGCTTCGTCTTGGAGAAGCTCCTTGAGCTCGCTCAACACTCCCGCGTCTAAGGCCACGTCCCTCTCGTCCACCACCACTCCTTGCTGCTCCATGATCGCTCTCACTCGCATGCAATCCTCGTACGTGCGACGCACTCCTTGCAGCGACGTCGTGTACACCACCAATCCGTCGCCTCCTCCGGGAGGACACTTCTCCGGAAACTCCCTCAGTGGGTCCCAGTTCATCACCGGTTTCTTGTTCCCTTCTTTCTCCCTCCGCTCTCTGTCTCTCAGCACGAATATGTTCTCCTTCACCGACCGAGACCCCGAGTACGACTGGGAGGGCTCGGTCCGAGCCGACTCCGTCCGAGTGAACTCGGGTCTTAACTCGGACATCGACTCGGTTTTCTTAAGCTTGACAGTCTTTATCGGGTTTTGAGCGGCGATGTCTTTTCTCGCCCTCGTTTCGAGCTCGTTAAGTGTGTGGAACGATGCGCTCTTCCTCGGAAGCCGTCGTGGAGGAGTCGCCGGAGATTTAACGGAGACAACTTCCGGCGATTTAACGGCGGGGGCTGGTTTAAGGTGGGTTTCAAGAGACTTGCTGACCTCATCCCATGTTTTAGGAGCGTCATCATCACCATCCTCGATGGTGAATTGTACGGCGGCGCGTGTGGGCTTTTCATCATCTTCTTGCTCGAGTTTGAGCCATGGCTCTTCGATGGCGTTGATATCAAACACCGCGAAACTCGACGGCGGTGGTTTGTAAACGTCGGCGACGACGTTGGCTTTCACTTGCTTAGACGATGCGCAACCCATTTGGCTATTTTTTAATTTTCTTGGAATGTGTTTGTGTCCTTTACTATATGAAGAAAACAAGAAAACGATGGGCAGAATTTTGTGTGGTGTTAGACATTTCTCTTATCTAAATATTTTTGCCTCAATTTGTATTCTTCCTACATATGTTGATCAGTATAATAAAGCATTTTATAATAAACAATGTGGGATTAATTTGAGTCCATGAATATGTGAAACGATTACAATGAGATTTTCTACTAACGACCTCAAAGTGTTTATGTGGTTTCAGCGTAAGCAACGTGGTGAGTGAGTCCATCGCAATCTTGTAAATAAATTCTTCCAATTGTCTCTCCTAAATGCAAAAATGTCATAATCATTTGAAGCATTGTCAAAAAAGAAAATATGAGTGTTTTTGTACTAAAAAAATGTAAGATTGGAAAAAAAAATAGACGAATAATTAATAAGCTTTTGATAGATGTTAAGGAGAGATCAATATGTTAACACTTTGACTTGTTTCAATGAACAACAAGAGACATATCGATGAACATATCTGAAAAGAAACCTAACTACGCAGCAGAGTCTTGCTTACTCGTCTTCTTCTTCTTCTTCTTTTTCTTAGCCGATTGATCGCTTACTCCCTCGACGTCTTGTACGATCTGAGTGTGACGCTTTCCCATCTCGCTCTCGATTGTCGCTATCGCCTTCTCGATGAAGCTCTCGACGGCTTCTCTCACGATGAGCTTGTAGGGATCTCGCGAAAGATCGAGATCCAACTCAGAGGAAGCTTCTTCTCGCGCCTTCACCTCTGTAATCTGAAACAAACTCGATCGTTCCAAGATCTTATTCACCGTTTCCTTTATCTTCTTCTCGAGATCCTTGTCCATCACCACTTCTCTTGCTTCTTCCTCCATTGATTTGGTGGCGCGTGCTAGCTTCGAGAACGAGGGTTTTGGATTCTCTTTTAAGTCTTAAAAGATAGAAATCAAAAACCCTCTCTGACCAATAATTAAATGGGCCGACGGACTTTATATGGGTGGAAAATATGTTAAAGCCTGTTTCAGCCCATTTTGAGCCTAGCGGGCTACCGACACTAGCCGTGTATTCTCCCTACATTCTAAGGTTAGTAATATTAATTTGATAGTTTTTCTTCACTCACTCAGGTCTTCATATTTGACTTTTTGTTGTTGCTGACTTTGGCAGGGATTATTTTTTGCACAGCAGGAGCTTAGAGAGGAGGCCGTGTTACTAGGAGTTGAGCTCTCGCTATATGTGGCTGAAGCGATGTTCTTGCTGTGTGATGACATTAGTAGTATGTTAATCTTCTGCTCCAAGTTATGGAGAGGTCTAAAATGGGACCTGAAATCTTCTAGTCCTGTGGTGGAAAGGCTGCTTCGTGTTATTCATTTGGTCTACTCAAGAAATACCAAACCGAAGAATGAAGTATACCAGATTGGTGGCAAGTCGGCCCAAGGTGAACTGATGATGACAACTTTGGAGAATTTCGATGGTGGAATGCGAGATCTGCACAAACTTTTCTTGACTCTCCAAGTTCAAGGAAGCTGGGCAGATGGCAGAGAGTTAACGTCTAGTATTGAAGAAATGCTGAAGAAGGTAGAGGAGAAGTTGAGGTGCGTCAAGGATATTTCATAGGCGAATGGGTTTGTGAGTGATGTGGTGGAGCCTGGGCTTGTATGCTTGTGGAAGACGCTGTTGGACAAAGAAACCGAGGAAACATGGACGAGGGAGGAGATTCTTATCGACCTCTTTCAGCCTCTTATTAAACAAGAAGCAGCAGCAAAACATTAGGCTACTAGTTTAAGATTACGTAATGGACTCAGTCGGAATAACAGAAATCGACAATGCTGTTAAAACTGGATTTTGGCTAAGATTTAGGATATAAAAATAGTAGTAAGTATTCATGACTCAAATTTAGAATTCTTGTAAAATGATTATAGTTGGATTTATGGTCGAATGATGGCGTCTCTCTTACTTTGATCAGAACTTGGTTGACCAAGCACAAAGCGAGAATCATGATGTGCAATAGATTATTCCCTTCGACGACTTGCATGTTGTAACATGGTCTCCTTATTGAAAATGTTGGTAATGTGGTAGAAGAATACAATATGGTCTCCTTGTTGGAGATGTTGGAAATGTTGGAGATGTTGTCAATGTATGACAAGATCCTCGTTGCAGAAGATGCTGTCACTGTTACATTGTCTTTGGAAGCAAACTTTCTCATTAAGGCTCCAAAAGAACGGACACATAAGCACCTTATCATATACGTATTCTGTCAATTTTGCTTGATGATGTGAATGTTCCCAACTCACACTAACTGCTTTTCTTTAATAACTCAATATATAGGTGAAGAAATCATCCTTAATTGCAACAGCTTGTACACATTTTGAACATCAACTACATTCATTTACAATTGTAAAAACAATTTTGACATTATCAATTTAGATCAGCTTGAGAATGTTAATGTTCATAACGAAAATCAGTTTGAGAAGGTTAATATTACAGTGAAAATCAGCTTCAACAGGGTAATATTCACAAATATATTGTCTAACCTCTGATTTTTTGCCTTATCGATCATTGAGAACTCGATGTTTCTCACGATTACCATGTTATGTTACTAATTTTGTTTTGTTATTATTTCGCAAAAGTTAAAACATTTTCAACATTATATCAAATTTGGTTTTAAACTTTATTTTAGAATAAAATATGTTCTAACCTCATCTCATTTTCAATTGCATAATCGTATAATATTATTTTTATTTCAAATATAGAATTATTTTATTTTGAATTCCATTTTACAATTGAACTTTTTTTATTTATATATTAATCCTTAAAATTTTAAAAAAATATTTTAGAGAATAAATAATTATATTAACAGTGATTTTTTTATTGATAGTTATAAATATTAAAACATTCTAATTTCTAAATAGTAAAATGCAAATAATATTTATTTAATAGAAACTATAATTACATAAATCATAATAAATTTTTTTGGAGTAAATTAAATGAATGAGTTAATTTGTAAATTTTGAAAACTATGTGTATAATTAGCAATTAATAATCAAAGAATATACTTAAAATATTTTTTTTAATGAGAAATGAAATTACATACATTGGAGTAAAATTCAATTGCATTTTGCAATTATTTTATTTTGGTATGAAAAATGCAATCATACATTGAAAAAGTTTTTAGAGAGCCTGGAAACAGAAAAATATAAAAAAAAGACATATATATATGTGTGTGTATTATGGAGAATTTCTGAAAGAAAGAAAAAAATACATGAAGCAGAAAAATGAGCTATCGTAAAGATATATCCATCACTTTATCCTATTTCAAATTTTATTTGTTAACAACTATTCATTATGGGTCAAATAAAAAAACCACAACTTAGTTTTTTTTTTTAAATGATTCTGAAGTTTTAATGAAATATTAACAACAATCATAGATAAATCATTTGTTTCCATCCAATCACATAATTCCATATGCATTGTCATTGAAATACACATGCCTAAGTGCTTATGTTAAAGCCTCTTTTCAGATTATGTTAAAGCCTCTTTTCGGATTACGAGGAAAGTGTCTAAAATTATGTTAAAGCCTCTTTTCGGATTACGAGGAAAGTGTCCACATGCCCAAGTGCTTACGTCTAGGATTGGGAAAGCGCTGAAGAAGGCAGAGGAGATGTTTAGGTGTTCCAAAGATGTCTCAGAGGCGAATGGGTTTGTGAGGAATGTGGTGGAGCCTGGGCTTGTGGGCTTATGAAAGACGCTGTTGGACAACAAAACCGATGATGCAGCGGAGATTCTCAGCCTCTTTGAGCATCAATAATAATAGAGAGATTTGACGAGGTTTTTAATATAAAAGAAAATAAATAAAAAAAGTGGCAAAACTTTTTCAAAAAGAATCGACTCTGATAGAAAAACTTTTTGAAACGACTCTCAGAATTTTATCTCTCATTTTATAATAAAAATTTATAAGAATCTATTTATTGAGTTCATCATTACTAATGTTCTCATCTCTATCAAAAATATCTTACAAGGTATTTAGTGAATAAAAAAAATAAAAATAATAAAAAGGAAAGAGAGAAAATGAAGAGGAGTTCTTAAATCATACTTGTCTCTTATTTATTTGTTCCGAAATGAGAACTTTTGAAACACTCATGAAAACCCCAAATCATACTTGTCTCTTATTTATTGGTTAATTTTTTTTTAAAACATTAAAATTTAATTATAAAATATAATTATTTTAAAATAATAATATTTTTTTGTTTGAGATACTTGGTAAGCATCTTATGGATAAAATACTCTTATGAATAAGAAACAACAACAAAACATTAGGCTACTAGTTTAAGATTATGTAATGGACACAGTCGAAACATCAGAAATCAAAAATATTGTTAAAATTAGATTTTGACTAAGATTTAGGATATGAAAATCTTAAATTGGATTATAGTAAGTATTCCTGATTCCTGAAATTTAGAGATTATAAATATATCTGCTTTTCCAAAAGCTATTAAATAAGAGTCTCGTAAAATGATTGTCATTAGATTTTTTGTCGAATGATGATGTCTGGCTCTCTTACTTTGATCAGAACTTGGTTGACCAAGCACAAAACAAGAATCATGATGTGTAATAGATTATTCCCTAAGCACAAAACGGTGTGCAATGGATTATTCCCTTTGATTCTATATTTGACGACTTGTATGTTGGCAATGTAGTATAAGAACATGGTCTCCTCGTTAGAGAAGTTGTTGTCAATGAAGGAGAAGAACATGGGTTCCTCGTTGGAGAAGATGCTATCAAACTTTCTCATCAAGGCTCCAAAAGAATGAATGCATAAGTATTTCACCTACAGTGGGTCTGTAAATAAAAACAAAGAGTAAAACATTTAATAAGGTGTAAACCGGTGAATCTATAAGTATTATGTCAATTTTGCTTGACGATGTGAATGTTCCCAACTCACACCAAGTGCTTCTTTTTTTAATAACCCAACATATAAATGAAGAAATCATCATTAATTGCAACAGTTTGCACACATTTTGAATATTTTCTACATTCATTTACAATCGTGAAAACAATTTTGACATTTATCAATTTAAATCAGCTTGAGGAAGTTAATGTCCATAACTAAAATCAGCTTGAGAAGGTTAATATTAACAATGAAAATCAGTTTGAACAGGGTAATATTCACAACTATACTGTCCAGCTTCTAGTTTCTCATCGATCATTAAGAACTTGATGTTTTTCACGATTATCATGTTATGTTACTAATTTTGTTTTGTTGTTATTTCACAGAAATTAGAGTATCTCCAACTTTATATTAAATTTGGTTTCAAATTTTATTTTAGAATAAAATATGTTCCAATCTTATATTATTATACAATTGGTATAATGTTATTTTGATCCTAAATATAGAATCATATTATTCTGAATTTCATTTTACAAATGAACTTTTTTATTTATAAACTACTCTTTCAAATTTTAAATATTTTTATTTTCGAAAATAAATAATTATTTTGATGATGATTTTTTTATTGATGATTATAAATATTAAAACATTATAATTTCTAAAATTAAAATGCAAATAATAATAATAGAAATTATAATGGCATAAATCAGAATAAAATAAATGTGTCAGTTTATAAATTTTGAAAATATGTGTATAACTAGCAATTAATAATAAAAGAATATACTTAAATTATTTTTTTTAAAATGAGAAATGTAATCATACGTTAGAGTAAAATTAAATTGCATTTTGCAATTATCCTATTTTAGTATGGAAAATGCAATCATACATTGAAGAAATATGTTTTTAGAGAGCTTGGAAACAGAGAAGAGGATAAAAATAAACATATATATGTATTATGGAGAATTTGTGAAAGAAAAAAAAAAGACATTAAGGAGAAAAATGAGCTATCTAAAGAATATATCCACCACTTTATCGTATATCAAATTTTATTTGTTAACAATTTTTCATTATGGATCAAATAAAAAAACCACAACTTATTTGTTCTTTTAAAAATGATTCTTAAGTATTAAATTAACAACAATCATAGATTAAGAGTAGTAATAAACCATTTGTTTCCGTCCAATCACATAACTCCATATGCATCGTCATTGAAATACACAAAAAACCAGAAAGTCTTCTCAAACACCGAAAATGGAATCTAAATCCAACCGATAGGAATTGAAGACAAGAAAGATTACCCAGGTATCGTCACCTTTCATGATTTCTTTAAAAAAAAACATCAAATCTCTCTTCTGATTATTTGAGGTTCTTTCGTTACTCTACAAAATGGATAATCTCGTTTGATTGTCTTGGCAAATGGATTTTATTTAATAGGCCTGTTTTTCATTATATATAGCGGGATCTTACGTGATCATATCAAAATTAAATGGTTTTTTTGTTGAAAACCTCAAGAGTTTAATTGGTTTTGACTATTTTTATTTTCAAGTCTGCTTTCATGTTCTGGATTTGTTGTCATGGTTTAAACGTCTAATTATAAAATGGTCAGATCATTAGCTCAAAACCAGATTCATATTAGTATGTCTGTTTAAAGTTTGTTAATCCAATTATCATTTATGTTTTTGTTGTTTATATCATATGGATCACTGACAGAAATTATGATTAGAAACCAGGAACCTTTTTTCCTTCTTTATTTTTATATTAGCAGCACCATAATTGTTTAATTTCACCATTGATTTGAGTTGTTGATGCATCGAACTTAATTGATAAAACATAATCAAAATTTGAAGGTAAAAATGTTGGCATTCGTGAAATGCTTCTCGTTGAAGCGAACAAAGCTTCCTCCTGGATATGAGGACCCTCATGTTCTTGCATCCGAAACTCCTTGTAAGTCAAAGAAAAAAGAAAAAAACAAAAACCACGACATATTCTAAATCGAATAACTAAAATTAATTAACTAATTAGGAAGAATGAGCTGTAATAATATGCATTTTATGAAGCTATATATAAGAGGTTATATATAATTGATATCTACATATGCAGTTACGGTGAATGAGATAGAGGCATTACACAAATTATTCAAAAAGCTAAGTACATCCATTATCGACGATGGTACTCTTATCCATAAGGTAATAACATTTATTTATTTTCACACAAAGATGTAAAAAAAAAAGGATTATGCATCTACGTAACCTCCTATTTATGAGCAGGAAGAGTTTCTTCTGGCTTTGTTCAGAAACAGCAGTATGCAAAATCTCTTTGCGGACAGGGTTCGTACTTCTATTCCCATGCATAATCCATACTCATAAACAAAAATTACATCAATAAATATATGTTTGGTTTATCATAGCAATACAAATAATGCTATTTTTTGGTTTTAGCATATCGAGAATACGATAAATTTTGCTAAAATTCCTTATTAGTTATTGAAGGAACATATAGTTTGAGGTGTTAATTAGAAAATAGTTTTTGGCAGGTGTTTTATATGTTTGATAGGAAACGCAACGGCGTGATTGAGTTTGGTGAATTTGTTCGTTCACTAAGCATCTTCCATCCACACACTCCGGAACATGAAAAGTCCTCGTGTACGTATCTTTTTATACATTAGTATCATGAACATTACAGTGTAAACAGATTAACTAAGCCGTTTTTATAATGTTGTAATATAGCAGTTATGTTCAAGCTTTACGATCTCCATGGAACCGGGTTCATCGAGTCCCATGAGGTACTGAAAAAAATAACAAAATATAAGATCACGATTTTACGGAATGGCAAAATATTTTTTTTTCATTCTAGAGACCAATATATAAGCTAGGCACATTAGTAATATCTTTGTAGATGCATGTATATTATATACACACACAAAAATTATGTGTTATGTTTGGTGGAAATATAGTTGAAGGAGATGGTGGGCGCACTACTTAGTGAAACAGACTTAGAACTCTCCGAAGAAACAGTTGAAGCCATCGTCGAACAGGTTCTGATTACATGCATGCCTATATATTATTTTCTCTATTAACTTCATTGTAATCTAGGTTGCATCAAAACTCTGTCCGAGGTATGTTTTCCGTTTTCGAAATGTTTCGGAAATCGAAATTCTCATAAACTCGTCGGAAACATGAAAAATCATGTTTCTTAAAAATTCTAATTGAGAAATACTTTGGAAACGCGTTTCCATTTTAGAAACACGTGTTTTCATTTTGGAAAGAAGATAAAAACTAATTTTTTGTTTTGTTTTTATGGAACTAATAGATAATTATAAAAATTAAATTAAATGATCAATTTAATTATTTACAGTTAATAATAAATATTTTGATTTGACAATTAAGATTAATTTTGATGTTAGTAAATTTGAAAATTATTCTCTCGGTGAATTAGAATTAAAAATAGTTTAGTTAATGAAACTAATAAAATTGATAATAAAAAAATCTTCTAAATTTTTGACTTTACATATTTTAATTGTTATAGTTTAATAATTATATAAAAATTAGATATTAGATTTTGTTGATTTAAATATTTTATTTATAATATAATTAGATCTTTAATACTTAATATATATTTTCATTTCTATATTTTTAAAAAATGGTAAAACGTAGAAACTTCCATGTACCCATTTCCGTTTCGATGCAACATAGATTGTAACATTAATATTTATGTTTCATGCATATCTCATGTTGAATTCATTAATCAGTTTTTTTCTTGTTTCTTGATCATTAAACAGACGATGCTTGAGGTTGATACGAATAAAGATGGCAAAATTGATGAAGAAGAGTGGAAAGAGCTCGTCGCCAAGAATCCTTCAATCCTCAAAAACATGACTTTACCTTACCTCAGGTAAATAATAGTAATTCTTTATTGAAAAGGTAATAATAATGTTTTCTTTTTGAGAATTGACAATGTGATTTTTATTTTGCAGAGAAGTGACTTTAGCATTTCCAAGTTTCGTTCTCGACACCGAAGTAGACGACTAAATCAGTTTCTCTGGCTCTTCCTCTTCTTCTGTAAACCGGTCCGGTACAACTACAAGGCTCAAAATGATTTGCATTTTTTTGTTGTTATTATGTTTCACGTTCAGTTTTGTCACTGTTGACAGTTTTATGATAGACCAACCTCAATGGTAATCTTCAAGGGTCTAAAGCATGGTTTTTAATAATATAATAGAATAAAAAATTTGTAAAGAATATCTAAAATTTAAGATTAGTATCCAAATTAGAATTTTTTTTTGGGTTAAAAACAGCCACGTAGCAAGTTCTGAGTAGACACAGAGAAATTAATTGTTTTTTTTTACCATTTATTATATTTTAAAAATTGTTAAAATGTTAAAAGTTGTTAAGATATATTATATTTTAAAAGTTGTTAAGATAAATGTACTTAAATTTATTTTAAAAAAATTATACCAATTAAAAATGTCTCTATTGTATACCTAAAAACAATAAAATATTACAAAATGTCTAACATACATAAAGTACATAAAATATTAATAATTAATCAATAAGACACTATTACTTTTTATGAAACAAAGAAAATGTCATATGATTAAACCAATTTTGTAAACAAGATCGATAAATTATAACCGATGATGGTTCAGTGTCAATATCAACGGGCTTTAAACTCTCTATTTATAAGTACTTGGGTCGATACAAATTGGCCCATTTCAAAGTATGACGACATGTGGCAACCTGGTCCGCGCACAACGGTAACTGAGTGGAACAACGGCTATAGTCTTCTATACCGGAGCAGCATCGGTCCCACACTTGTGCTCAAGACTGAAGTGTGGCCCATTGTTTTCAAATTTTAAGTTAACTTTATTGTTCTCGAGTTTGTGTTCATGTACCCATATAATCGTGACAACAATAAATTTATATTCACGAAATAATTTAAATATATTGTCAGGTCATATTATTATTTTATTGTCAGATTAAAGCGACCGGCCATACTGAACGTTTTCAGAAACTTATTGCTACTACATATTTGATTGTTTTTTTTTTTTTTTAAATAGTATATAAACTATGACTCTTTTTATTTCTTTGTTTGTGTGTGTGTATAAAAACAGAAAATTAAGTTGTCGACAAAAAAAAATAAGTTTTTGACAAAAAAGAAAGAAAGAGTTAAGTTGAGGTTAGATGCATCATGCATGAACTGGTCATCGGATATTTTCGAAAGAGACGTCGAATCTTTAGTGTTTCATGTTGTCATGTTATGTGACACACTTTCCTTTGGACCTTCCTTCGCGGTACACCTCAGAAGAAACATTCACATCACTGAAGTTTATTACAAAAAAAAAATATTTGTGTCATCCTGATGATAATATTCAATACAAAATCATCATATATCTACAATTTTTAACATTTTTTTGTTGTTGTTATTAGTGTATCAAATTTGTCAAAAGCTATTTAAAGGGCCTTGTTATTGAGATACACAAGGAGATGATTCTTCGAACCTGCATAATTCATTATTATTCATAATGTATCTAATATTATACTAATATAGTATATGGTTGCTTTATTAAAAATAATATGTAATGATGTTTTAGGCTTTTGAGATACTGCGAACTTTTGTTTTGGTTGAATGGAAAGAGGACCCCATCCATGTGCAACGGCAATAATCTCGGTTTACGACCTCTTCAAGTTAAATGTTCCGGTAATTAGGTTCGTATAATCCCATCTCTAAGTAAATTAAATTACCACTTTAATTAATGTTTAGTTTTTCTTCCAAAAGAATCACACGTGGCAAGGTTTTATTGCACGAATGACTCACAATACCGACGTTGGCCGGCAAGTCAAAACAAATGCCACGTTATAGTTTCCGTTAGTTGGATGACGGTAAGATCAACACGTTATTACTCCGTAAGGGATAAGAGCAAGGTTAATTAATTTAGATTTTTATAAGGTAAAATAAAAATATGAAATGATGACGTAGGCGGTACCTATCGACTCCACGTATTATTTGATAAGAATAAAGGGACACATTAATATTCTACTAATTTTATACTATGGAACAAACGGTCGTCAATGTTAGACTAACGGCGTTAATATACAAAAATCCGGAAAATGCTAAGGAGCGCGTCTATTTAAAGTAAGAGCTTCTTCTCTCAGAAAAATCTTCCCCTTCTTTAGCGATCATTGGATTCTTTTTCGGTAGATCAATCCGAGAAAACTCAATCTCCCGAAGAAGACTTTATATGCAGATCTTTGCACAAATTGTTGTCTAGAGGTTTACCGATCTTCGATTTCATCCCATTTTCGTTTTCTTCGTAAATTTCGGGAATACCTAGGCTTAAAAGGAGAGAGATTCATGAATATATAGGTTTCGGGAGGGTGTTGTTGTTCTAGTTGGTGTTTGGATCTTCCGATCGATTTTCATGGAGGGGTGTCTGTTGTTGATGCCCGTAGGAGAAGATCTATGTTGCTCGTGTGTTTAGATTGGGATTAGAGCTAGGGTTTGTTTTTGTTTTTAGGAAATGTCTGTTGCTGATGTTGCTTTAAGCCCGATTCAGAGAGGATCTGGGTTTTGTTTTGGTCACGAGCAATCGCACTACTCCGTCAAATCGGTTTTGGTGTTCCTTAGCGTCACTGGTTCTACGATGCCTATGCTCATCCTGGAGTCTGATTCAATAGCCGAGGTGAAGCTTAGGATCCAGACGTGTAATGGGTTTAGGGTGAGAAGACAGAAACTGGTTTTCAGTGGCCGAGAGCTCGCGAGGAACGCGTCGCGTGTGAAGGACTATGGCGTGACCGGTGGGAGTATCCTGCATTTGGTGCTTAAGCTCTACGACCCGTTGCTCGTCACTGTGATCACCACTTGCGGCAAGGTCTTTGAGTTCCATGTCGACCGCCGTAGAAATGTTGGGTATCTGAAGAAACGGATCTCCAAAGAAGGGAAAGGGTTTCCTGATGTGGATGATCAAGAGATCTTGTTCAAAGGGGAGAAGCTTGATGACAACAGAATCATCGATGGGATTTGCAGAGATGGAAACTCTGTCATCCATTTGCTGGTTAAGAAGTCTGTGAAAGAAGAAGCTTCTCATCTTCTCCCTGCGCTTGTCCAAGACGCGGTGAAAAGCGAAGACTTTGCTTCTGGTAAAGACTTTTTGTTGGAACCCGTTCTTCTCAGTCCCGCTGTGAAACTGCCTAAGGTCCTCGAGGGTATGATTGACCGCACCGTCGATGGGTTAAACAAAGGTAATCCACCAGTGAGATCAGCTGAAGGCACGGGAGGGACATACTTGATGCAAGATTCGTCAGGCCTCAACTATGTGTCTGTCTTCAAGCCCATGGATGAGGAGCCAAAGGCCGTGAACAATCCTCAGCAGCTTCCTGCGACATCAGACGGCCAGGGATTGAAGAGAGGAACTAGAGTAGGAGAAGGCGCAACAAGAGAAGTTGCAGCTTACTTATTAGACCATCCCAAAAGCGGACCGAGATCTCTGTCTAAAGAAGTTATGGGTTTTGCCGGTGTGCCACCAACCGCTATGGTCAGAAGCTTTCACAAAGTGTATAATTACGCAAATGGAGTCGGCAGTTGTACCATTAAAGATGCCAAAGTTGGTTCTTTGCAAATGTTCATGAAGAACAACGGAAGCTGCGAAGACATTGGCCCTGGAGCTTTTCCTGTGGAGGAAGTGCATAAGATAAGCGTCTTTGACATTAGAATGGCGAACGCAGATCGACATGCCGGAAACATATTGACAGGGAAAGGCGAAGACGGCAAAACCGTTCTAATCCCCATCGATCATGGTTATTGCTTACCGGAGAATGTAAGTTATTATCTTTATAAATTCGTTCAACGTTTTGACCCTTCCATATATTCTAGAAGTGAAACTAAGTTATTGAGCATTTGGGTCTGCGCGCAGTTTGAAGATTGCACATTCGAGTGGCTTTACTGGCCGCAAGCGAAAGTCCCGTTTTCTGCAGAGACTCTCAACTACATAAACTCGCTAGACTCTGAACAAGACATTGCGCTTCTGCAACTCAACGGTTGGGACGTTCCTGAAGCGGTCTCACGCACGCTGCGCATCTCCACGATGCTTCTGAAGAAAGGCGTTGAGAGAAACATGACGCCGTATCAAATTGGGAGCATAATGTGCAGAGAAACAGTGAACAAAGACTCTGAGATTGAAGAGATACTGAGAGAAGCTCATAACTCGGTGTTACCTGCGTCGAGCGAGGCTACGTTTATTGAAGCTGTTGGATCGGCCATGGATCGTCGTCTGGACGAGCTAACTAAGTAAACTTTTCGAGTACATATATAATAAAGTTTGGTTTTGCTGTATCTGTGTATCTATGTATGTTTATGGTTGAAGAACGTTTGATAGGCTCTTCTTGGATAATTTTTTTCTTCCATGAAAGAAGCCTTTAAGCTTTTGTGTCGTTTTTTTCTTCTAAATCCTAATAAATAAAACGTTGCGGATGTAATTAGGATCTATTCTTGTTGCTTAAATATAACACAACAAAATCAGAAGACAGAGAGATGAGCCAAAAATCAATAACATGTTGCAATCTATTCGCGAAAATACTTGGCTTTCTGACTAGATTTGCAAATTATATAAATCACAAACACAAGAATATTCAGGCATAGACAGAAGCAGCATACAACAAGTGAAGGTCAGTGCATGATGAGTCTGAGAGGACAGCACCGGACCACTCAATGTTCCCCAACACCTCCCAAGTCTCGCCTTCCTTTTGTCTCCTGAGGGAAATCTCGGCATACCAAAGCTCCAGAACCTGATCAGGACCTTGAGGCCGGGCTTTCCAGAAGATGGCGATCCTCTCTGCAGAGAAGATGCAGAGTTTGATCAACTCAAAACCACAGAGCTCTTCCAAGCCCTTCACTTCCTTCCACTCCACCTCACATGGGAAACGCCACAGTATCCTCCCGCCGGTACCACGGCAGAGCAATGTCTCGAATAAAAGCCAATCCTTTCTATCTTCCGGGTTAGACTCTGTTTTCCCGTCTTGCACAAACATACCTCTAATCGGCGAGAAGGAAAAGGACTCACCGTCCTCATCCACCGCGTAAACCTGCTTCTCCTCTGTCACCACGCTCTGTTGGATCTTGCGGGGCATCTTGTGCGTATATACAAACAACGGCTCCCAAGTTCCGGTCTCGATATCATACACCTCCGTCCAGTTGTATGAATCACCCCACTTTGAGGAATCAGTGTCATCGTGCCAGCACCCTCCAAACACGTATATCTTCCCGTCTATCAGGCTCGCCGATGCTCCGGATCGAGCCATCTTCATGGGCGAGACGTGGTACACCGTGTGGTCGATACAGTCGAAAAACCAGACTTCCGACGTGGGTTCGCCGTCCACGAGTCCACCGATCGTATAGATCCCCCAATCCGTCACCACGAAACAGGATCCTGCTTCCGGGACCGGATACAAGACCGAGTGGACCGGTTTCAGGCGACGTTGCACGGGGTGGAGGATGAACCACCGTGGGATTGGATCGGGGTACACGTGCATAAGCACGTACAGATATGGGTCGACGCTACCCTTCCGATATCTCCAGCGCCTGAAATTATGGGACACTGCGGCACACCCGTGTGTCCTGGAGACCATAGCTAAGGCCACGAGGTCCAATCTCGACACCTTAGCCAGGATGTCCACAAGCAGCTCATTGGGCAGCGACAATAGCCCACACACCTCCGTCTCGTTCGTCCTCGTCTTCAGTTCCAATTCACTACACATCTCGGAATCGCACATCTTCTCTCAATGCCTGATTTTTGTATCTTCAGTTATTTATATATACACTTGACGTCTAGTTAAAACTTCAAAGGAAACAACACAATCCTGATGAAAAAAGGAAAAGAAAAAAAGAAAACAAAAAAAGGAAACAATACTAAGACATTGAATCATTGGATTGAATGGACGAACCAAGCGGTTTAGGACGGTTCAATTACAAAACGTAATTTCAAAACCAAAACCGGGAAACCAAATCAAAATTGAAAATTAATTTTGGATAATCTAAATCAGAGTCAAAACCGAGTTTAAAAAGTCTCAATGCAGTCCCAAGTGCAGTGGCAAATAATGGGCTATCTATGACTTATTTTCTATGGGCCTGGACGAAATAATGGGCTATCTATGGCTTATTTTCTATGGGCCTGGACGAAAGTGAAGACTTAGTAATTAGTATTAGGGGTATTTCTGTCGTTATTCTTCTAGTGATATTTTTGCTAGTTGGATCCAACCAAACTAACACAATTTAATTTTCACAGTGAGCAGCAATTTGGCAGTGTGCTGCTGTTTTTATGACTTGTGTAATTTTGTATTTTCTTTAAATTCCAAATTTTATTTTAAACAAGGCTTCGAATAAAAGAGTAAATCTCACTGAAAATGAACTTTAGACAGTCTCTCATCACCTACTACATGTTGGAAATATACATACAAAAAGTATCATGTGACTTTGGAATCTTATAATACCATCAAAAAGGAGAAAACATTCTTGACTAATGCAATAAGCTGGTAATTAGGGTAATCAAATTATGTTTATGTTGTGTATTTTATTTGGTTTTTTTTTCCTTAAAGCATTTAATAAAAAGTCATCACTTTTCGTTTTCACACTGCGTAATAAGAATAATCCCACTCTACTCTCTCGCAGTCTCACTATCACTCACTTCCTTCAACGCTATCTTCGTCTCCAAACACTTTTCGATCTCCGGTAATGGCCAAGCCTCACGGTGGTCGTCGTCGTCCTTCAAACCGTACAAATCTAGCTTCTTGCGCTGTCGCCACTGTCTTCTTGCTCTTCCTACTCGCCGTCCTCCTCATCGTTTACTTCACCGTCTTTAAACCCAAAGATCCCAAGATCTCCGTTAACGCCGTCCAACTCCCGTCGTTCGCCGTCTCCAACAACACCGCTAACTTCACCTTCTCTCAGTACGTCGCCGTCAGAAATCCTAACCGCGCCGTTTTCTCTCATTACGACAGCTCCATTCAGCTTCTCTATTCGGGTAATCAGGTCGGGTTTATGTTTATACCCGCCGGTAAAATTGACTCCGGCAGGACTCAGTACATGGCCGCCACTTTCACCGTCCAATCGTTTCCCATTTCTCCTCCTTCGTCCTCCGCTATAGCCAGCGTCTCCGCTGCCGTGGTTCCAGATTTTCCGGGAATGCCCGGTCCTCCGGATTTCACCGTAACACCGGGTTCTCCGAGAATCCCAGATTCGCCGGATTTTCCAGGAGATCCAGAAACGCCGGATTTTCCAGGGGACTCGGGTCCTCCGAGTTTTCCAAGAAATCCAGGTTCTCCGGATAATCCCAGAAACCCAGGATCTCCGATTTTGCCGAGGAATCCAGGCTCTCCAGTTATGCCGGGGAATCCTGGGTCGGGTGTTCCGCGAAGTATGGGTCCGCCGGGGTTTCCAGGGACCGGTGCTCCTCCGGGGTTTCCAGGAATCGGAGCTCCTCCAGGGTTTCCAGGAATCGGAGCTCCTCCGGGAACGCCGGTGGGATTCGGAGGAGGGACGGGGCCAACACTAGGGGATGGATATGCGAATCCGGGTTTCGGGTATGCGAGTCGGGCGGGACCGACGATGGAGATAGAGTCGAAGATGGAGTTAGCGGGTCGGGTCAAAGTATTGCACGTATTCACGCACCACGTGGTTGCTAAATCGGATTGTCGGGTCACCGTCTCTATAGCCGATGGCTCCGTCTTGGGCTTCCACTGCTAATTTCCTTTTTAATATTATTATTTTCTCCATTTTTGCTTTTTCATTTAGTTTTTCTTTTTTAAATCCTTTTCTTCACTAATTTTCTTTTTTTTCCAGCTCCTTATAAGTTTGAGGAAATTAATTAGAAATTGTAAAAATGTAATTCTTCGCATTAAAAAAGGAGAGCAAGTTCATAGTTTATTATTGTTCTTTTCTGCAAAAACGGTCACGTTTCTCTCCTTGTAATGATCCCTAAAAGCTGGTTTTCCCATGAATATGTATGGCTGAGTTTCTTTGTAATTTGAATATGTTGAAAGTGGGGGTATGGGTCCTTAACTATTAACTTTTAAGTAACATTGAAGATCTGTATTCCATTTCCAAAATGAATATTTGATAAAGTAAGTGAATTTCATTTTGCATATCTTGGCATGTAAGAGTATTTAGAGAGTATATACCCCAAAAAGAAGTAACTAGCTTTTGAATTTGTAGTGTTCTTTTTAATGTCTTTGTATTTTGAATTTGTGATCTCAAGAAGTCAAAGAAAGGGATAAAGAAGAAAATGATAATAAAGAAAAAGTTAAATTGAAGAGTGAAGTAACATCACTGGAGAAATCCCACTATCCTTGAGATTTGTGTAATTATTTTCTTCAAAATATCTTGTCTTTTTACTCATTTAGCACTGTCCTCATAATATACTTTTTTATAGGTGAAGAAGAAAGTGATAAACTCAGAGGTTCTGTATATAATAATAATACAAAACAAACCCTTACCCATAAACAAAAACTGAATTCAATTTCTATTCAATACAAATATAATCCCATAAATAACACAAAAAAAAAAGAATTGATTTCCTAGGAAAAGATGATACAAATCCAACAAACAAAAGAATCCACTTAAGTTAACCCCTATGCGTGTGTGTATATGTAAATATAAATTACAAAAGGAGAAAGCAAAATATATGAATAGAGAAGTAAGTAGAGCTTACTCACTGTGTTTTTTGGCTTCAAAGCTATGAATATGAATCTGAGAGGTGTAAGAAAAAGAATGGTGTTTGGATTTTAGCTCTGTCGTTATGTTGTGTCTGGTGAAGAACCATAACCGAAAGGATTGTTGCTTGCCCAGTTCCATTGGTCCCTACACATCTCTTCGATTCCGAAATTTGCCCTGTCCACAAACATTGTTGAGTTTCTTGTGTCTCAGGGACTTTGCGAATAAAAGGTCACTTGACACTACAACAAAAACAGTAAAAATTTACTTACTTCCAGTTTAGATCACGTTCAGCTTTCTCGGTTGATGCGTAGACCGTCTCTGCATCACCTGGTCTTCTTCCAACCTTCACCAGTGGTATTTTCTGTACACATGATGATGATTTCAGTGTGATGTAACGAGCAAACACATACACTCTTCTTACCAGAGACAGAAAGAGAGAACCATACCATTCCTGAAACTTTTTCAAATGCATCAACCATCTCCAACACCGTTGTTCCTTTGCCGGTTCCTAGGTTGTATACCTCGCAACCTACCACAAGAGTCAAGTCAAACCATCGAACTTATATATATATATATATATATATTCGAGACGTTGAGCTACTTAGAAAAGCCTTACCTATTTCGGAATCTTCTAGCTTTTGAAGCGCAGATATATGGCCATCTGCTAGATCAACAACATGAATATAGTCTCGTACCTGAAGTAGAAAGCTCACCACTAAGATCAAACCAACTCATGACGCAAAGGAATCAAAACAAAAAAATTTACATCACAAACTATCAGTCAAAGTGAAATTGACGGTTGAGGAAGGGAGTTCATTCTCTCATGTTATAGTTACTTGATTGTTGAAGCAAAGAGGTGAAAGTTAACGACAACAACAATTTTTGTATGTCTAGTGACGACCAAACTACATCTAGGATTTGGAGCAGACAATTTCTTGGATTCCCAATCAATAGACCAAGATCCTTGTGGAATGGACATAAAGAAGCAGGTCTATGTGAGAGTGATGCAGGGAATTTAAGATCATAGTTATAGGTTGAGTGAAAATCTTACACCGGTGCCATCTTTAGTGGTATAGTCGGTTCCATAAATCTTGAGGTTAGGCAGCCTCCCAACAACGACTTGCTGGACATAAGGCATGAGGTTATTTGGAGTCCCACAAGGATCCTCACCAATGCGACCGCTAGGGTGAGCTCCCACAGGGTTGAAGTACCTCAGCATTATGATTCTCCATTCGGGATCACCCCGTTGTACATCACGGCATATGTCCTCAATGAACAGCTAAGATTGAGAAAAACAGGTTTAAAACCGAGTTTTTAAAATCTACAAAATAAAAGTCGAAAGTGTACCTTTGTTCTTGCATAAGGACTCATTCCAGAAAGAGGGGACTCTTCTGTACAAGGAACCTCCTTTGGCCAGCCATATACAGTAGCCGACGAAGAAAATACAAGCTGGCACAGATCAAATGATACATCAAGATAAATTACACATATACTATATATGCATATGTATGAGGAATAACACAGCTTCAGAACAGAAAAGGACATACTTTTTTACATTTGTGTGCAGACATTACTTCCAAGAGTGTAATAGTCCCAATCAAGTTATTGTTGTAATACAGAAGCGGTTTCGCCACGCTCTCCCCCACTGCTTTCAATCCAGCAAAATGCATTACTGCATCGAACCTACATTACAACAGGTACACAGAGCGATGATGAACCATTTTCTTTTAGATCGGATCTTAAACACGTCTTTGATCTGACAAAAACCCCAATTTACAAGATTCTCCCTTTCTAAGCTTTTCCGATCAATAAACGAAATGAGATTTTGAGACTTGAAAATCGGTAAGAAAGAAATCAAAAGCTCACTTTGACTCGGAGAAAACTCTCTCAAGCGCGGGTTTATCGCAAAGGTCCACCTGCAGAGGTTAAGAGATACATTAGCCATCTGAATTTGCAAACTTTTACCGGATTACAGGATAACCCCGAACACAATTCGATCCATCAAAACTACAATCAAGCACTGTAAGCAAATCGAGCTACAAAGGAAGTCTCATTTCAGGAGGCCGTGATCACCGAAACTCTCGGAACACAATCATCAGACGGATTGAGAGGTGGAAACACAAGAGTTAAAGCAGATGAAGAAAAATGGACAAACCTGGTGGAATGTGAGATTTTCTCCATGATCTCCGGCGAGCTCCTTGACGCGCTGGATCGAAACGAGAGACGAATTGTCGAGGTTGTCGATGACGACGGTGGTGTAGCCGCGGAGAAGAAGTTGGAGCACCGCGTGACTCCCGATGTAACCAGCACCGCCGGTCACCAGAATATTCTTCACCATCTGAGCTCCAAGAGGCGATGAAGAGAGAAAGAGAGAGAGAGAATCAAAAGAGAAGCTTCTCTGGAAATAAATAACAAAACCTTTGTTTCTGAATAAAAAGAGAGTGGAGAAGAGAGGACACGTGGCCTTTTCATTTCATTTTTCTCTTTTTATATTGGTTTACTTATGAATGTCACAGACAGGCTCACATTTTTCTGGAGAAAGAAAGTCGCTGTGCGTGCTTAGCAACTAGTAGGAGTAATAATAATTAACCAGAGCTTGCATACACACGCAAAAAAGAAAAGAATAAATTATACACAATTCAAAGAAAAAACATTTCGGTGATTATTAAACTATATACTGTATCACAACACAACAATGTATAATTAGCAAAGAGAAATTAACTTGTAGCGACCGACAGAAGAAACTTTAACTTTTAGCGATGCTCCAGAAGTTTTGACCTGTATCACCAGATGATCAACATTAATACTATAACAATTTTTTTTTTAAAGTATTTTACAGTGAAATAATACCAATGCAGCTCTGGAGAAAGAAAAAGATTCGCAAGAAGGAAATTATAAAAAAAAAACTGTAATTAAAGTGTAATTGCCAGAACATCCGTCCACAGTTTCGTATCATTGACGAATCAATCTCAGCAGACATTATTAATATCATACATATGCCGCCGAAAGATAATTGCTTTCTATGATGATGATGAATTGATGATGTTACGATAATGATGATGATGGTGATGGTTTACTCACCGGGGTTTGTTTGTTGAGAGAGGTGTTTAAGGTTGGGAGCTGAGAAGTCTCTCGGCCTCATCGTTTGCTTCAGCCTGCAATTTCCATTTCTGCATCGCTCAAACAATGAAAAGACCAAAGTAAATGCCTGTTTTGTCCAAAAACGGAACTGGAAATTGCAGTAATATATAGTATTTGATTGAGTTTGGAACCACATACCTCTTCAAGGTTTTCAAGTTCCATGATCTGTTCTATCTGTTGAGCAATGTTTTCCTGTGAAGTAATGGAGTTTTTTTCACTCGAGCCTCTCAGATTTAGATTCATAGATAGCTGCAAGAAAGAAATAACTCACAGTATTGTTCACTGCCTCGGCTGCAAGAACATCACTGTCCATTTCCACCTCGATCTCAATCATTGAAGATATCTAAAATCCATAATGAAAACGGTTCTTTAATCAAGAAAAAAAAACAGAACATGCACTGAAGATTTTGAAGATTAAAAAAAGGTGTTGTTTCTTACTCTGGCATAACTATCGATCAGCTCAATCCTTCCTTTTATGGAGTTTTCAAGACTTTCTCGTACCTTCTTTACTCTTGTTCTTCGAGTACTAGATTTGAGTACGAAACACATGTTTGATCATTGATCTGTTGTTTTTTTTCGTTAACAATTCCCAGAAGATGAAGATAGAATGAATGATGTGAGAAGGTCATCATACCGGTACGCTGGCTCTCCCACGGCTAGAATTTTGTTTTCAAGCTGGCACATTCGAGCCAACATCCACACCTAAATGGAACACAAACAAGTTTCAGTCGTTTTTCAGTTGTACAGACATTGTGGGTTTTCAAAAGTTTGGCAAGCCTGCATCATGGACCAAGTACCTCTTTCTCAGTTGCTTCTTTTAGATCTCCAATGCGACGCTGGAGCACATCGTACTGAGATAAAAGTTGCTGTTTGATACCGACCACATCCACTGTTCTTTCAGGGAGCTGAAACCGTTTATGAAAAATTCATACACAAGACACCGACGCATGTTCTCTTGATGCGATAGATAGAATAGATACCTGATTTAGCTGAGGAAGGACAAAAGAATTAAGGGTCGCTCCGATTGCCAGTGATGTGACAGCAGCAACTGAGAGTAACTGAGGCAAACTGGGATCAATCATGCCAGAAGCAGCATCTCCGGTAGCCAAAACAGCAAGAAGGGGAATCAGAAACGAGGGCTGCAAGCTTTTATCTCCTTCTTTGCTAGGAGGCCTTAACAAAAGCGATTCTCGTCCGTCCTTATGCTTTGTGATGCTCATAGGTTCTCCAGGGTAAAGGTTTGGAGCCTTGGGGGTAAACTTGAAAGGTCCCACTTGTCTGTAAACATCCGATGGAGCAGCAGATGCAATTGTCACTCGTTCTCCTTCTCGCGCAGGGAGCTCGGGTGTCTCAGTGGCAAACCGGTGCGTTCGTGCTGTACCAGAAGGTGTTTGTACCTGAAAATCCAATGCAGTGGTTACAGTATCTGATGTATCTAACTTCATTCTTTTGAATTTGAACCACAGTGGAGGGAGATTTTACCACAATAGAGTGCACAGAAGAGATGACTTTGTCCTTCTTTATCTGGATTAGTCTGAGTCCCTTTTCCCACAGAGGAATGTCCTTGCTGCGTGCGGCAGATGTAGCTCCTTAGAAAAAGTGAATACCTCAGCATCAACACCACACACATCTCAATCTTTTTTTCAGGTCTAATTACCAAACACAACCCGAGCTCTCTAGAACCAAAACAAGCTGCATCATCTTTTTCCCCTAGAACTAATGTAACAAAAGAAGAAAAACATATTGAATAGAACTAACCCGAGCTCTTCTGATTCTATGCTGGTTATGTCACCAGAGAAAAGCTCGTATTGGTAACGGCAAGTAGCGCAGGAGACAATCTACAAACACAGCCAACATATCATCCGGTTAAGCTTAAAAAAAGATAACGTTGAGCACTGACCCTAAGATCCGATCATCATTACCTGAACTCCATGTTGAGGCTGTGCAACAGCAACTGCAATCAAACAGCTCGGACATCTCACAACTTTACCAAAGGGTACCTAAATCGACAGCAGTGTAATTCGATATCATGCTCATAAACATAGCCACACTATTTACATGAACCTTAACTAAGTAGAGACCAGTTTCAAGGTGTTATAGGAAACTGTAAACATAATAATTCGAACATATCATAAGTTATATGAAAGGACACAAAGAGCAATTCTTTTGCAACGAATTCAATTTCAGAAGCTTATACATATCATTTGGACTGAATTGCCTCTAAGTTGTGAGCAATGGATGTTCTTGTTTGCTTACCTCCTCGGCAGGGGAGATTCCAACGCGGCAAATATCTCTGATGATCCTTAGAGAATCAGAAACCCTCAAGGAAGCAGCAAGACCATTCACCAACAACGTGTACACCTCAACATCAGGCCTTGACCATCTCCATCGATCACTGTCACTCCCACCTGCAAAAACACACACAATCACTCTCTCCTTAAAATCAATTTCATAAACTTCTTCTCTGGGGTGAATTGGGAAAGTGAGATGAGCGAACCTAAATCGAAACTCGTTCGCATGGCGTAGAAAATCGACAGCGCCAGCTCCACATTGCCGCGGCTGACAGCAGCGGAGATAATCGAGCGGCAATCTTTGATTGCTACGATTCCGCCGCGATTTGATCCGAATCGATCAGAAATCATCTCGAGCGCTTCATCCGCATCTCTAACGGCGGATACGCTGCTCAGAAGCTCGTCGTCGAAAAGAGACGAAGAAGGCGTTTCCGAAACATCTGCGGCGGTGCCGAAACTTTCTCTGCTCCGGTCGCCATAGGTTGAGTACAGAATCGGTTGTCGACGACCGGTATACGCCGGTTTGTTCCCGTGAATGAAGAAGATAGAGCGAAGAAGAGAATGAGTCTCGTGGAGGTTAGGGATGCAATAGATGCCGGAGAATACGGAGGAAACTAAACGAAGGCTCATTGTTTTAATCGGAAGTTAAAGGGAAGAGAAAGTCACCGGCAAAGAAGACGGAGGAGCATCGGCGGTTCTCTGCTACTCTTAGATGAGAAACGAGAGGCTGAGAAAGAGGGAAAGATACCAACGGTCTCAAACTTTATCTATTTGCTTGTATTGATCTTGAGCCGTTGATTCATCCGAGAAGGCCAAACAAAAATATAGAATCCGACGGTTGAGTATGAGAGAAGCTTTATTAACAAAAAATAATTAATTGAAAATAAAATGGAGGTGCGGGGAATCGAACCCCGTGCCTCTCGCATGCGAAGCGAGCGCTCTACCATATGAGCTACACCCCCGATTGCTGTTAACTGTCATGTTTATTAATATTTGTAAATAATCATCCACATGAATAATAATATTTTCGTTATAGATAAAAAAGATCTAATATATATGGTACGCGATGGACCTAGAGGGTTAGTCTAGGAAAAAAAATGAAATGATACAAAATTGTCATGTAATTTCCGATCGTCGTAATCTAACACACTGCTTTAGATCCCGATGCTCATCATAAGTATACTCATTTTCAGCATAGATCATATCTTTAGCATCTTCATCTATCCATCTCTTGGACTTCAGGGCACTCCATGATGCTCTCTAAAGAAGGTTCCCATGCCATCGATGAAGGGGATGATGATAACGATGATGATGTTTTGATGATCCTCTTCTCTAGCTCTACCATAACATCCTTGGCCATCATCAAGTCTCCATCGTGATTCCTATTCATCTGAAGCAAAAACATATCCAATTCATGTCTTGTAAGCACTATCTTCACCTTCATTCCTCCATGACCATCACCTTCTTCACCACCATCATCACCATCAAGTTTGAATGACTCTTTTGCCTTTTCTCTAACCTCTATCTTTACTTCTTCTCCTTCTCTTTGCATCCACCTCTCCATGCAATTCCCCATTGTTAACCCCTCAAAAAAGATTACAAATCTCAATAAAAGGACAAAAAAGAAGAAGGTTTTGCTTCTCTTTTTCTTTGAAAATAAGTGATTGGCATGACTCATGAGTGTGAAAACACATGTATATATAGAGGGGCAAATATTTTAATAGAATCAAATCTTTTTTTACTGATTTGTCTTTTAAATGCCTTTGAAATTTCCCAACGACTCTCGTTATTATTCTGAGTGACAATGACATATTGGAGAATTTAAAACTCAAATACATATGAATTCTATTGCATGGAGTCTAAATAATTATTTTCAAATATAAAATATTTTTTTTTAAACAGTATTTTACGTATCCACATGTTGATCAATCAACCACGTCAGAGAATTTCATAAACAAATATGAAAATATAGAGTATTTTAATTGAATAATTCTCACAAAAAGACAACCGTTAGGTTAATGTCGACATCAACCGTTCGGACCCTGTTGCCCGACAGTGTCACGGGACACAATGCAAAGACTTTTTGCGAGGTAGAATTTAATGAACATTAAAACAATACTATAGATTTATTTATGTTTGGTTTTTGTGTTAATACAAACAAAAATTGTTTAAAGCAACACTACGCTACTAGAAATAAAGAATTCAAACTCAGAGACTTTTTTGTTTTGTTTGATGATTTATTTTTCAGTGTAAAAATCCGATCACGTGGTTTGACCAAATGTGAACACGAATATATATATATATATATATATATATATATATATATCCTCCGAAATTTACATGCATAAGCACTGATAACTACGGAATAAAACTAGACTGAATTAATTGATAATTAGTACATAGTAACACTAAATTGCATTAATTGCTGTACTATGTACAAGTAGGATTTTCCGATTTAAAAACCCATAATATTGTACTTTTTATGTTTTAAAATAAGTGTCATTTTGATATTTTTTTACACAAATTAAAAAATTCAATAAAAAAACTTTTCTGTTTTTTATAAATACACTAAACAATTTTCTCTTTCTAATTAATACATTAGTGTAACAAAGTTAAATCTGAATATTTGATTATAAATTTGCATTAGAAATCCAAAATGACATTCATTGTAAAATAAAAATAAAATTTTAAAATGACATTTTTCATGAAACGGTAGGAATAGCATTTTGTAAGCTATGAGATTCAAAAATTGGATGCTGTCATGCAAAACAAAACAAACAAAACTTATATCGTTCTCATAGATCACCGGAAATTAATGAAATGTTGGGAGACAATAGCCAGATTTTAGGTATGACTTTAAGAACATTATTGAGTAATTAAATAGTCTGATGTCATACGTGTAAAGTACAAGTAATCAAATAATCCAAATCGATACCTCTTAAGTTGCTTGGTTTCCGTTGAGGTCAGTATCGATTTGGATTTATTGAGAAATCTGATATATAATTCTAATTGGAGAGGTATTTTTCGTTCAACTTCACACTTTAGAGTCGGTTCGGTTAGTTATTGGTTTGAGTTATATATATACAATCAGAACTGAAAACCAAACAGAAAATGTTAGTGACATTTGAAGCTTGACACATAGACACATACACACATCACATACTTCTCTGACCAATGTAACTTATTGGCCTAAACTAAAGAGCCTATAAGGTGAAATGAGAGTAACCCATACAATGATAGATAGTATTACATCAGAACATCAAACTGACCCATACAATGACCCATACAAGTTGTCGAGGTCTCGACTACTACAAAAAGTTCTCCGTCATGATTCATGAATAGAGTGAAAGTAAAAACAAACATCCCCTATATATTAAAAGAGAAATATTTTTAAAAAATAACCTTAATTTTGTGAAATATTACAGTGGTGTCATTTTGATGATGTGTCATCACCAGAATTATTTTCAGCAAAGTTATAAAAATAGATTTATGTTACTAGATTAATTATATGTTATGCCACTCACATTAATTTGGTTATACATTAGTTTATATCAATTATATTGATGATGATTCATCAAGATATTCTCTTTTCCATTTCTTACCAAAAATATATCATATTAATTATTTATTTAAATACTATATTTTATCTCTTATTTTTATAGAAAAATAAATCATCACATCATTCATATATCAAAGTATATATATATATGTTGTTATAATTCAAATTTTATAAAAAAATATAAATTACTCAAATGGTTAATAAATAAAAGTATGTTTTAAAAGACTAAAATTGAAAATAAGGATATGTAGATAGATGATTCATAAATCAATATAAAAATACATAAATGATAAAAAAAACAGGAAGCTTAATCTAATATATATTATTATTATAAATATTTAAACTTTATAATAAGTACAAAATATTAATAAAAAGTTGAACTATAAAAATATAGTTGAATATGTTAATAGAATATAATATTATAAATATTTTATTTGATTAAAAATATCATAAATTTTTAATTTATACAACAAAATAACTTGGTAAAAAATTAAAATATTTTTGTAAGGATATTATATAATAATTTTATTAAACTTTTTGATATTGAAAATATTTTTATCGAATCAAAAAGTTAAGAATGTATAAATATTGACTCGGTTATATACAATTTTAGATAATTTATTAAAAAAATAAAAAAAATATATAATCTATTATTATATAATCCTTATGTATATTTAGTATTTAAAATCAATTTCACAGTAATTTTATTTTTTTAAAGTTAATATTCTTATGACTATAGTTTTTATGGGTTAATCTAAATATGCATTTACATTCGTATAAGAAATATTAAAATCGATTATAAGATCTTATCATCAAATTTTATTTTTACAATTTTAGTACTCTCTATTTCAAAATATAAGTTGTTTTGCATCAAAGTACAAAGATTAAAAAGAAACTTTCCTTTAAAAAATTAATTATTTAGTATATAAATTATATATAATTTAACTAATTATGAAAAACTGAAAAATATAATCGGTCACATACTATTCACAGAAAGTAGTAAAAAAAATGAAAACAACTATATTGTGAACCAAAAAAAAACCTTTAAAAAACTAATATTATGAAACAGAGGAAGTAGTAAATTTTTTTATTATTATCATAACACATTAGATAAATAATTTAATCAAAATATACTCCTTTTATTTTGTTTTTGAATTTTAAGATCATGTTATTAATCATGGGTTATAGAAAATATAAAGAATGACTTCCTATTTTTATCTAGATTATGCATATTTATTTAAATTTTAAAACTAATTTATATTAGAATTAAATTACCCTATATTTCATAAAATAAAATAAAAAATATTTTGTCAATATTACAGCATAATATTATAAACAACTTATATAAAATCAATTGTATTCTGTTATATGATTTTAAAATTATACTATGTTAAATAAATAATTATTATTTTATTCTGTGCAGGGTGCGGGTTATTACATTGTTTGTGAAACTGTTTATTATAATTGCATGTAGGATCGATGCATGCAATTATACTTGAGTTGAATACTTGAATACTTAAGAGTAGGATCAGAAAAAAAGCCCCCGTGTTGGCATGGTGGGCTGGGTTGGGCCGAATGGTAAAGCACGCCATTAAGAGTCTTTAAGCCCACCTTTACGTTTACAACGATGGTCCAGAATCGAAATTTTATCTTCTACGGCTATGAAACTCGACTATATTTGACTAGAGACCCATTTCCTTGCTCGTTGAAGTCTCTTATATAGATAATTGGTCCACTATATATATATATATAACGACTTGTTGTTGTTGAACTTTTATAATTTCGTAATCCAACTCTATATATTTTGTAAATGTAATAAGAATCTTACAGGATGTGGGTTTGAAACATTCAAAAGAAAGAGGGGAGACTTTTTCTTCTACTTAGAAAAACAAACAAAAAAAAGTCTATCTTTAGAAGAATTCAAAATCAACGGTAATAATATTCAGATTAATTCGGCTTAGAACGACAAAAGTAAGCCGTTGTAACATTTTTGGTTGCATATTAACTTAAGGAAATGGTGACGTAATTTTCATTTCATTTGGTCCTTTTTCTCGTACGGATTTTCGTTACACGTTCGAGTCTTGGCTACTCACCTTTAAGTTTCTTTTTCTTCCTCAACTTACAAAAGTTATCCTAAGCTATAATATTATATTTTTTTTCATAGATCGCACATAGATTAGAATATGGAGATTAGTTTCATTAAACATGGATCTAGAATATATTAATAAATTATAGTAACTAATAAGGGTGGTCTGATACAAAAATCAATCGCATAGTTAGGTACGAACTACGAACTAATTCAAATGTGACGTGATGGAAATAATGGCAGTGACCTCTATCTATAAATCTCGTTTTCTTGCTAAAGTTTCTACTTTTATATCCTACAATTTCCACCACATAATAATGCCGACATTATGTATAACTATGTTCATGATATTAGTTCAACTAGATGATCATGATATTGCATCTACACCATAAGGTTATACTCCTATAACTTGATCAATTTGTAAAAGTTTTGCTACAAGATTTTAGTCTTTAACGGTTTTTATTAAGATAAATATAATCAGGGGACAAAAAGTCCTACTCCAATCTTGCCTTGATCATTATCGGTTTTCACGCCAAATGTTTCATTGCTAAGTCGCATGCCCGCCTCCACACAATTTTTTGTTGTCAAGCAAATTTTAATGTAGTTATGGTTAATCACTACTATGTATGATATTTTGTATATCGATTATTTAAAATGCCATATGGCCTCTATAATAATTCAAATAGCAATATGATCTTACTGTGATATGAAAGTCAAATCTCTCAATATTAATTATAAGCAACGATCTTGCACTTGTGGGCTGTCAAAGGAACCTGGTAATTCGATAATACTTAATTATTTAGAGGTTTGGGTCATTAAAAATATAGGAATTACATGAATACCATATATATATAAAAAATGAATAACATGAAGGCAGAAATGAATATGTTTTACATTCCCTTGGAAATTTTAAAATTTTTTTTTAATACCC